CTCTCCCTCTCTCTCTCTCTCTCCCTCTCTCTCTCTCTCTCCCTCTCCCCCCTCTCTCTCTCTCCCTCTCCCTTTCTCTTTCTTCCCCTCTTTCCTGGCTCCTCTCTCCTGCTGCTCCTGTCTCTGGAGGCCGGTCTCCCCCTCTCCTTCCTCCCTTTTTATGATACCTTTACCTAATAAAAAACTTCTCTGCTTGAACCCTGCCTCATGGCATCTTCCTCTTGCATCTGCTTTTCTTACATTATAACATTAGGTGTATTATCACCGGTGATTTTATAAAATGAGACCATTAACAGGATTAAATCAGCCTGGTGTTTGGTCTATGTTTGGGTGACAGTTTGTTCTTTCTTCCTAGTGTGCCCCTAATGTGCATAAAATGGATGGATATTCCTGTGATGGTACTCAGGTAGGCCACTCACTTTTACCTAAAATTTCCATGGGTGCCAGCATGAGAGAAATGCTGGAATTTTTATCTCAGTAAAAAGGTGAATTTGAATGGTTCATAATCAATTCAGATGACCACACTCCTGGGCAGGTTCTCAACTGTATGTTCTTTTTCTGTTGTCTAACACAGCAGACATTGTTTTCACTGATGGTATTTATTTTCTCCTTCTAGGGAATTTGCTTTGGAGGAAGGTGTAAAACCAGAGACAGACAATGCAAATACATCTGGGGACAAAGTAAGTTAAGTCATGTAGCTTGATTGCTTTTTCCACACAGTATTGGCACACTCCTTTAAGGACATATGGGCGAGAAGTAAATTAAGTAATACTTAATAACTAGAGGCTTCTTAAAATCACTTCTGGACTGGGGAGGAGCACTTTTCTAGAAATTAGAGAAAGGCACCTTCTTTGAGAAGCCACGGCCCCACAATTCTGGCTAGTTGGCAGTGCCTGTGGATGAGACAGAAGGTGCCTTTGCTGCCAGGCAGGCGAACCCACCTGGTGCACAGCTTGGAGAGCAGAGCAGACTTGATTTCAGCTCCTCAGCTGAGTGCCCTTGAACAAAAGATCCCATATGGCCCTTGTATAGCCACATGGGATGGACATGGTCTCTGGGTAGGGTATCCTTGCATTAGACCTAGGAATTTTAACTAGAGTTGCTTTATCTTCTTTAAGCTCCAACTGGCTTTTGTAGTTATGGGTGACCTTCTGATGAGGAACTGTCCTATAAAAGCCAGAAATGTTAATGTTACCTCTTCAAAATCTGTCTCAGTTTTAAAGGATAAGGTATAACATTTATATTTAAATAATAGTATTTAAATTTTACTAAATTTAAATTTTAATTTAAATGTTGTATTGTCTGTTTTCCTCAGAATTTCTAAGCAAAATTTTTGGAAGACGTATTTGTTCTTAACTTAATATTTTCTTCTTAATATTTTCAGTTAGAGTGTTAGTATGTAGCTATGTATCTTGGCCAGTTAGACCTTTAATTTGTAAGCTTCTTGCCTAGGCTTCCCAAGTGCTGGAATTACAGGCATGTACACCATGCCTAGATTATTCAAAGTTCTTTTGAAAGATGATTTGTGCTAGGAAAAACTATAAAATGAATCATATCCTTAGATACCAGAGGTGGTGGTTGCAATGCTTTAGGGAAGGAGCGTGTGTTCTCTGAGTCACTTGAGAAGCATTGGAATGAAAAAAAAATGTAGTCATGCCGGTTTGTATGATTTTGTTTTTTTTTTTTTTTTTTTTTTTTTTTTTTTTGCTTCCTCTAATTCAGCAAAATAGGCGAGGAACAGTGATGTAATTAGCTACTGCTTAATATGCATGGCTCTGAAATTCCTGGTACCAGAAAAGTGTAAGATTGTGAATTTTATATCAGGGATACTTTTAGGGATGTGACCCAAGTCTAACCATGGAGTTCATTTGTGTTTTATGTATACACACATATCCTGAGGGTAATTTTATGTAATACTTTTAGTATTTTAATGCACCTGCATTTTTACTGAGATTTCTTAGATTAGGACATGGACTTTTCTTGTTTTCTAATTATTTATTGTGAGTGTGTGTGTGTGTGTGTGTGTGTGTATGTGTGTGTGTGTGTGTGTTATACACATGTATATGTGTATGCCTGTGCATCCACAGAAGGCAGAGGACATGAATTGTCTCAGTCCATTACTCTCTCTATCTCATTCTCTTGAGACAGGCTCTTACTGGACCAGCAGCTAAGATGGCAGCCAGCAACCTTGGCCATCCTCCTGCCTCTACTCCCCATAGCTCAGAGGTCACAGGCACATGCATGTTCACATGTGGCTTTGTACATGATTTGAACCCAAGTTCTCATACTTGCACAGTATGTTCTGTTGTTCACTGTGTCATCTCTACAGTGTAGGTCATGTAATTTTCTACACATGGTATCTTGTTCGTTCTTAAAAGGTCTTGGAACACGAAGCATTTCAGGTTTTGGATTAGCAATACTTAACTTGTATCACCAACTGGCATTTGATTAGTTTACAAAAAGTCTTCATTATTTTTTGTTTGTTTGTTTTTTTCTCTCTCTCCTTCATATCAGATCTCATGTAGCCTAGGCTAGTTTTTAATCTGCTATGTAATTTAGGAGGATGATCTTGAACTCCTAATCCTCCTGCCTCCATCCCTGTATTGCTGAGATAACCCTTCTTGGCTGGAAAATCATTTTGTTCTAGCAGGCGACTCTGATAGTCAATGCTGGCTTCAGAAAAGATCAAAACCTGCGAAGATGATGGAATACCATAAAATGGTTTTTGTGTTTCAGAGACTTAGCATGAACCCAATCTCATCTTAAAGCAAAATAGAACTTTTTTTTTTAATAGCAGTTAAGAATTAGTAAGGTGAAATTATGCTGTTTCTTGAATCTGATTGTACTGCATAGCAATTTGAATAATATTGCCCTTCTTAGTAATAAAGTTTCTGATTGAGACTCATGTATTTACTACTGAGATTACAATGTGTGTTCAAGGATATCACCATCCCTTAATTAGTGTCAGGTCTTGGGGCGTATTCTCACAGTCTGTAGCCTAACCCCCCTCAAAGATCTCAATATAGTTATCATCCTATTTTAAATGAGGTTTCATGGAAGATGCAACCAAGCCATGTCTGTGATGTGGTACACCTTTTGTAAGTGATGGTGCAATTTTTGGTTTTGTCACTGATAACACCATAGCGAACAAGTCCTTAAGCTGCAGCTTCCCTTGCTGCAGACCTGTGAACAGCTCCCGAGTTTGCTCCATCACTGATGGGAAATTCTGTTCTGCTGCAGAGGTAACAGCATCTGACAAATACTGCTACGAGAAGCTGAACATCGAGGGGACTGAGAAGGGTAACTGTGGAAAAGATAAAGACACGTGGATACAGTGCAACAAACGGTGAATGCCGGTGCCAGCCCAGACTTCATCCTTCAGTCTGTTTACAAGCGTAAATTCCGCATGGGATGTCCCTATTTGGGTGCTAATAAAACGTGCTATCTTGTCTGTTCTCATTTTCCCTAGAGCCCCATCATCACAAACAACCTCGATTCTAGACACGTACCTGGACCTCTTTCCTAGGGTCCAGGTTATCCTTATAGTTGCTACTCTTTCTCACCTAGACAGGACCTGCCAGCATCCTAAGATTGAGGAAGAATAAAGCCACCGTCACCCATACTGTTGAGTGAATTAGCTAGCTCTGACCGTTCTTAATTACCTCTTGTGTTTGCTAAATGCCTTAGTGTTTCACTGTCCCTTGTAGGTAAGAATAACTGACTCCATCTTCCTGCATGTTGTCCAATCATGAACATGGTGGTTTTTCCCCTTTGCTTCCTACCATTTATTGTGAATTAACCCTTTCATTTCATTAGCACAGCTAAGCCCTATAATTTATCTATTACAAGAATCCCTTGAGTTTTCTTAGCTGACATTCTTAAGCATCCTGTTACCAGAATAATCTTCTTCTACATCCTTTTGGATGTGTCAGTTCTTTGCTCAAATTTCATTAGCTCCACATAGCTAATTAGCACAGTAATTCTTATCATATAGCAGATATACACTGTGCGCTGGGCACTTTGTTTCAATTTGATGACTCTGCCACTTAAACGTCAGGACACCCCTCTCGTTTCATAGATGAGGAACCCAAGGCAAAATCAGTATCTGTGCCCAAGATCCTGTAGCTAGGACTAGAAAAAGATTTAGTATCTGGTATTCTGGTATCAGAATGCTCTCTTGATTTTTCTGCTGAAAGTTTGTGTCTTAATTAACAAAAATGGAAATCCCAGGCTGGGTACAGTAGTGCATACTTTTAATCTCAGCACTTGGAAAGCAGAGTGAGGTTGATCTCTGTCTGTACAGTGAGTTCCAGACCAAGGCTTACATAGTGAGACCCTGTCTCAAAAAGGATAGGGGAACAAGGAGCAAGAAGAACCAAACCAGGCACGTCTTCCATGATCTGTGCCAAACTACAGCTTTTTTTTTTTTCTTTGCCCCATTGCTCCCTCAAATTCTAGCAAATCTTACTATTCTTAATACCTACAGCACCCTGCCCTGTGTTAACGAGTTTGTTTGAGCATTCATTCCTTAGAAGTTGTCCTTACATCTACAGCAACACCAGTGAGAAATTCATCCAGTTTTCAAGGCCCATTTGGAAAACACTTTCTGTATAAATGATTTCCTGATTGGCTGTCCCAGTTCCCTTCTGAACTCTCAACAGTCACAGACCTTGCATTATTCTTATGGCCCTGGCCCTCAGCTATTTATTTTGTGCGCTCTCATGCATCTGTTGTGTCTTCTCACACAGAGGAATTCCCTTGAAGATAAATATCATGTCCCGATTTTTTATAGATTCTAATTTGCAAACATTAGTTTTCATGAAGAAAACTAGAGACTTGAACAGTTTTTCTAAATTTTGTTAATAAGACATAAATATATTTAGAATATAATTTTCTATTTGCACATATTTCTGTTTAAAATACTTTTAAAGAACAAATGAATACCTTTTATACATTTTTAATTTATACATTATATATAATTATAAAGAACAAATGAATACCTTTTAAATATTTGTGATAAATACAGGTCTCCATTGTTCTCTGCTAGCCATTATATAAAGTCAGACATTTCCATATGTGATTTTGCTGCTATGTTAATCACATTTTGTTGATGTCTTTCACTTTGTTTTCTGAGACGCGGTTTCTCTATTGTAACTCTGGCCGTCCTGGAACTTGTTCTGTAGACCAGGTTGGCCTCAAACTCACAAATTTATCTGTCTATGCCTCCCTAGTGTTGGGATTAAAGGATTGTGCCGCCATCATCCAGCTTAGTGTTTATAAGACTTTTATTTAAATACATGTTATCACTGTTGATAACTCAGATATGTTTGTTTAAAGAATATATAAAGCAGTATTTTAATCCCAGCAATGTATCTGTTAATTTCTAAATACACATTATGTGTTTAGGAGGGTGGTGAGGCTATATGGCTGGGAGTCTATGTGAGCATAGATTATCTCCTCTTGGGTTTGGGGAGACAGGTTGCAGCAGCCATATTACTCATGCAAAGTTCATTCACTTACCTAGCACTAAAGAAGTTTGTCATATCCAGCAGTGCACTGTATGAAAATCATGATGATGAAAATTTTCTTTAAACAAACATTTGAACTGATAGGCAATAAAAGACAACCTAGGAAGTTGTTAGGATTTTTGGATACGAGTTGGAGTTTTAGGGATGTCAGTTTTGAGAGCAGGAGGCAAGCTGGCATGGGCTTGTTTTATTTTGCTGAGTGTACACATAACCAGGGTAGCTGATGGATAACAAATACTAACAAGACAGACATTACTCCAAAAGTACGAGTTTCGTTTTGTCTTTGGGGAAGAGATAGAGTCAGTAATTGATACTCTTTTAACACAGGGATGTGCTTTGTGGTTACCTTTTATGCACCAACATTGGCAATATCCCAAGGCTTGGAGAACTTGACGGTGAAATCACATCTACATTAGTTGTACAGCAGGGAAGAACATTGAACTGCAGGTAACTATCTAACCTTTTTATGATCAAATCAGTCACTTCAGTTTTCAAGAACACAGCTTGGACCTGCTACTGTTTCCAGTGTTCATAGTCTGAACTTGAATTTAGTTCATAAAGGTGACTGAGCAACTCCTAACAGAAAAGAGATGAGAAGTTGTTAAGAATGATGCCTGTAGACTGCTACGTCATTGCTGGAATTGTGTTTCATTGGTTGGTATAATCCTCCAGGGTTTGGCTTGCATTCCCTTCTTATTAAGGACAATTGGGACTTCCGGATAGGGTCACTCATCACATGGCTGCTCATTTTGCTTTTTTCTGAAGTCCCACTAAATTAAATTCTCTTTGGAAGTTATATATCTTTAGGAAAACACACAAATGGAGTAGAAGCAGTAACAGTCCACATCTGGCTATGTGGCTCATACTTAGGGGAGCCTCTTTGAGAAAGTTGAATTCATAGGTCTGTAAGAGGGAAAACTGAAACCCAATCTGAGATGTCTTGTAACGTCTCAGAAGCCTGAGAAATTGGCAGCGTAATCTGCTGTTCAATGAGGGATTAGGTGAGTTTCAAGGAAAGTTTTTAGAGAAGGAGGCTGTCTAGGGAGAGAAAGAAAAATAAAAATAAAGGAGCTTAATGCACAGATTCCCAGACTCTTTTCATGACTCAGCCACAACTGGGCTAGCCCACCGTTCCATTGGAGACTCAGGCTTTGTCTCCACAGAGAGTGAAAGAGAACAGTCCTAAATTAAAGGATTGATGTCAGGGTCATGTGGACGTGGTTCAAACTTGACAAATGCTCTCTGAGAGTGCTCTGAAGTTCCAGTGTCTGGTCATTACTGATAGGCGTGCAAAGAAAGTCTCTAACATGAAAAACCAGAGTGAACAGAAAACCCCCAGACTTTTTATTGTGAAATGAAAATATAATGTCTCACTTTAGTCAAACAGACCGTGTAAGAAAAAAAAAATTCTGTTGGATTAAAATATGACAGCAGAAGTGAAGCTTAGTGGTTGAAATTGTCTGCCTAGAAGTAGGGCAACAACAAAGAAAAGAAACTGTTTACTTTGGGATCTTTTTTGTCTATCTGTTCATCTATCTATCTATCTATCTATCTATCTATCTATCTATCTATCTATCTGTATGCCTTTTATTGCTCCTGTTTTCCTGGGGATCCTTAACTAATATATTTGCAAATATTAAAAAAATCAAAGCAGACAGATAAACAGTCAACAAAGAAAAGAATAATCTAAGGTAAGACAAGTAATTCAGAGAATAAGAGTTTAATCATGGCAGTTGTTCAACTAAATAGCATTTACATAGTTATAATAATGTACAATATTTGTTATTGAGTAAATAAAATTTATTATGAAAGGATAAGGAAAGGAGAAATTGCAGATAGAACTATCAAGGGGAAAAGGGAGATAAATTCTCTTATTGTAGATGAGGAAATTAATTAATAATACCTACAGCTGAAAGATAAAAAAATTAGTATACTGTAAACTTTTTTGAGACATAAGAATAGCAAAGGATCAAGAGTGTAGAAAGTGGTTCTTTCCTAGAAAGGCTATGGACAGGGATAACTGCTTTATTTCATGCAAAAACCCAGTTTATCTAATGCTGGGGAAATGACTCAGTTGGTAAAGTCTTACTATTTAAACTCGAGGACCTGCGATGCATCTCTAGTACCAATGACACCCATGTAAACAATTCGAGCACATCAGTGCATACCTCTAACCCTAGTGTGAGGTACAGATGAAAGGATCTTTGAGGCTAGCTGGGCAGCCATGAATCCATGGGTTCCACATCCATTGAGGACACCCTTGTTCAGAAAAGAGGGTGGAGAGCAATGGAGAAAGACACTAAGTTGCCTTCTGGCCTCTGCAGGTATACACATTCATACCACATGCATATATGGACACATGTGTACTAATACATGAATACAAACATGGACACAAAACCCCAGTTCTTGTATTTGGCTCCATTTGCACAAATAATTTTGATAAAAATTAACATGGAAATTTTTGTGTTAGCATTGGCAAGGTATCATATGGAAATATTAATTATGCATATACACTTTCAACTCCTGTTGATATTTTATTTAATTATAAGAGAAAACATGTGTGCATGCTATACTGAGCAGTGACTACAGGGATTAAGTCATTCCCAAATAAAATTTGCACATATACAATGTTTGGGAGCATTGTAAATCAAATCCAATTCCAATCCTTATTTGACACACATTTGAAATCTTAAAGCCTGCTTAATAAACCGATTAGACTTGCACATGGTATGCAGGGAAAATTAATAAAGCTAGCTCAGTGCTGGCCCCTATTGTAATAATTTTGTTTAAATTATGTTAAATTTCAAAAAAAAAAAAGCCAGACAGTGGTGATACACGCCTTTAATCCCAGCAATTGGGAGGCAGAGGCAGGTAGATCTTTGTGAATTTGAATCCCACCTCGTCTACAGAGTGAGTTAGGACAGGCTCCAAAGCTGAAGAGAAATTCTGTCCTGAAAAAACCCCCAAAATTGTTAAATTTTAAATTAATTCAATTATTTTTATTTAATTAATTAAATTAATTTTAGATTAAATTAAATTTTGTTTAAATTTAGAGATAATATATTATCTCTGAAAAGAGTTAGATCAAAAGTTGCTCTTACTTCCTACACTTGCAAGATATTTCTGGGTTTATGGTGTATACTTGTAACCCCAGCATACAGAAGATGGAGGCCAGAAAAGCAAAAGTTCAGGCCAGTTTTGTTTATATTGGAGAGTTTGATGCCAGCCTGGGCTACATGAAGTCCTATCTCAGTGAAATAAAAGAACAAGTAGTTAAACACCATTTGGCTACTGGCTTTTATGAAATTACCAACAGAAGACCAGAGAAAGAATATTTCCTGCTTGTAGTTTTATACTCAAGATGAATGTGAATTAATGGAATCCTGTTTTCTTTATTGCTTCCAATTTATTTTTAGTGGTGGGCATGTCAAGCTTGAAGAAGATGTTGACCTTGGCTATGTGGAAGATGGAACACCCTGTGGCCCTCAAATGATGTGTTTGGAACATAGGTGTCTTTCTGTGGCTTCCTTCAATTTCAGCACTTGCTTGAACAGTAAAGCAGGCACTGTTTGTTCAGGAAACGGAGTAAGTGCCAAACCTCACCTAGGAAAACCATCCATTTCTTCTAGGTTTCAGAAGTAGATATAATCCTGTAATCTTCTTAATTATGGGCAATTTGATTATCCATGTTTCTGGTTGGCATGTGAACATGAATTTGATCAAAGCTACCTGAATATTTGTGTGTGTGTGTGTAATTGAGAAAGTCTGAGATTTAGGAGAGGGATTTTTAGCAAACTATAATGGAATTTTTAAAACATTTTAAAAATTATTACTGTTAATTCTTTTGGTTTGGTTTGTTTTGTTTTGTTTGTACATCTTGACCGCAATGTCTCCTCCTTCCTCTCCTCCCAGTCCCTCCCAAACCTCCTCTGCCCTCCCATCCACTCCTCTTCCATTTCTATTCAGAAAAGGGCAGAGCTCCCGTGGATATTAAAAAACATGGCATATCAAGTTGCAGGAAGACTAGACACTCCCCTCACACAAAGGTTGGGCAAGGTGACCCAGTATGAGGAAAAGAGTTCCAAAAGCTGGCGAAAAGAGTCAGAGATAATCCCTTCTCCCACTGTCAGAAGTCCCACAAGGAGATCAAGCTACACAACTGTATTGTGGGGAGTGAGGAAAGAGGTCATCTGGGTACACCCACATCAGCGCTGGCCGGCATTGACTGTTGTAGCCAGATGACAGCCAAGGTTAAAACGTGGGAATGACAAAGTTTTCAGGGGAAGTACTGTTCGTGCATGAACAGAAAGAGTGATACTTTTGATATTTTAATTCTGTTCTTTCAGAACTGTGTATTGGATAACATAGGTCTTATTTATGTTAAAATCTAAACACCAGTCCTCCATGAGTGACCCTCCACGAATATATCCAGATTTCTCATTTTCATTAGGAATTCCTTATTTGTAGTCAGTTTTTTTTTTTTTCTGTTAGCATGCTTTTCTTTTTGCTGGCATTATAGAATCTTGGAATTGCTTGTATTATCCAGTTGAGGAAAAGGACCTTGTTTTGTAATTTGAAGCTTTCAATCCTGATCATTCCATATGATGGATATCAAATGTTCTTCGAGAAACATGCTTGGGCTGACAGGCAAAGGTCTCTTCACTTTAGAAACCAACAAGCTGTCACTATTCACCAAAGAACAGGAAATATTATGGCACATAAAACGAAAACAATTCAGCTGTGTAACTGCTCCTGCAATGTTTTTACTCCTTCTTGTAATCACTAGGAGGATTTAGGGAAGTAGTTCTTTTAGGACCAGAGAAATGAGAAATGAAATCACTTTTTTATCATCCTCCTAGTGAATTTTAAATAGATGCTAAAACAAGATATGGTTTTATATAGTAATGGTTAGTTTAAATGATTAATAAGAGTCAGATAATGTAAGATTTTATATAGCATAAAAGTAACTTATAATAATCATGTGTTATGCAGAGGTATTATTCTATATAGTCAAAATGTTTTATTATATGTGCATATGGTGTGTGTGTGTGTGTGTGTGTGTGTGTGTGTGTGTGTGTGTGTGTGTGTACAGATACATGCCGTGAGATATATACTGGTCAGATAACACCCTGGAGAAGTCAGTTCTCCCCTTTCCTATAAATGGCTTCCTGATATTGACTAAGGTTATGAGGTTTACATAGCAAGTGTTATAACCACTGAGTCATCTTGCCAGTCCCCTACATGTTTTTTGATTGTAGTAACTCAACCGTGTATATGGCAAAAAGCTAAAATCAGGATGGAAGTATTTTTTATGGATATCATCAAAGCCTGTGTGAAGTAATTATAAGTCGGGGTTTATTTGCTTCTCTGTAACAGAGAACTGACATTTCTGCTGGCTCACCTTTGGCTTTTAGGTTTGCAGTAATGAGCTCAAATGTGTGTGCAACAGGCACTGGACAGGTGCCGACTGCAGTATACACTCTCCTCACAATGATGATGCAAAGGCTGGCATCACCCTATCTGGCAACGGTAGGTATCTAACTTGGTGTTATGCCATATTTATATAGAACAGAAGAGGAATTTCCTTTATGGCCATTTATATTAGAGATTTTTATCCTAACTCCAAAATAAGTGGTATCTACGTAATGGGTGGGCGGGGAGTCTACCTTGTGAAACCAACCATTTTCATTAAATTGTAAAGATTTGTCAACCTGAGTATAATTTAGACTACTGACTTCACCTTATTTTGTCCTACTTCAGAGATTTTTCAAGTGTTATAATTCCCCGAGGCTATGAACAAAGCCTAGCATCTTTAATTTATTCTTTGACAATTTCATGCATGTATGCAGTACGTTCTGTCGAACTCATCCCTCCCATACTCTCCCGTCCTCCTCTCACCCTCAGCACCCCTCTCCTAGTTCCCACCATGTTCTTACCCGACTTTCTTGCCTTTTTTTTATTGTGTTTTCATTTTCTAACATTTCTTTGAAATTAAGAAACTTAAATGGTTTCTTGGTGGTTAAGAGCACATGTTGCTCTTGCAGAGGACCAAGGTTCAGTTCCCAGGACCTACACAATGGATTGCAACTATCCATTAAGTCCAGTTTCAGGAGGTCTAGACACTCTCTTCTTGCCTCACCGAGCCCCAAGAATGCACATACTGTATATACTTACAGGCAAAACACTCATACATGGAAAATAGAATAATAAAAAATAAAGTATTCAATGTAAATGGATAACTACATATTTTGAGCTGAATAGCTGAGAAGAATGAGTTGATTTTTAAGGTTTATTATAGAATCTCATTTCTATTGTCTAAACTTTGAGATGCATAGAAGCACTGTAACTGGCCAAGGTGATAAGGACTGAGAACAAGCATCAGACATGACAGGAGGGCAGTTCTGAAAACGTGATTGGCTCATTCATAGAAGAGAAAACTAAGCGTGGGCAGTTAAAGAGTTCACCCTGTAGACAATTAAGTCATTTCATTCTTGTGGCTCCTTTTGTGTGGAATAATACTCAATTCTCAATGTGCGCTCACCTCCCAAGGCTAATAACAAACAGATGTACTCATGGAAATCATCTATTCAGGCTTAAATCTAACAAAGCCCCAGAATGATTAAAAATGTGATGTCCTCAGATAGTGATGGTAAATGGTTACGTGGCACTTGCTCCTAGGGTCGGTGTAAACACAAGAGTGTTTATAGCACCTAGATCTCTGGCAGTTAAAAAGATATTGCTTAGAAGGAGCCATACAAGTTTGCTGATCCCTGTTTAATTCCTGGAGGAACAGGAAGGGTGGGCAGACCTGCTAAGTCTTCATGTGAAAAGGCCAGAGCCTTGTTCAAATCAGATGATATTGTTAGTGCGATGGTTACTCATGTCACTCATTTCCCTCCCTGTTTTCCCTTCTAGGTGTTGCTGGCACTAATATCATAATAGGAATAATTGCTGGCACCATTTTAGTGCTGGCCCTCATATTAGGAATAACTGCCTGGGGTTATAAGTAAGTCAAAATTTTCAGCATTATTACTGTAAAAATTTACTTGAAAATATTTTTGATTAAGGGCTAGAGAGGTGGCTTGGTGGGTAAAATGCCAATGGCTCTTGTAGAAGACTCAGTTTTGATTCCCAGTATCAGTCTGCGGTGCCTCATAAATGTGTGTATCTCTAGTTCCAGGGGACCTGACACTATCTTCTAGCCTCCTTGGGTACCTGCACTCACATTTGCTTGCGTGTGTGTGCACACACACACACACACACACACACACACACACACACACACACACACACACTCAATTAAGTGTTAACTGGAAGGTGGTGTGTCTTTACCTTTGTATTTGTATTGAAAGTCAGTCTGGTCCAGCACTCAGAGATTACCCACCCTTGGTATGGCTAGAAGTAATGATAACTTACCAGATTTTAGATTTTGAAATAAGTCTTCCTATTCTGAAAATATTGAATGTTGTTTTAAGATCAATCTTAATTGTGAGTGAATGCATACTACATCCATACATCACATTACCAGCAAAGCCCCTTTGTCCAAATACATACATACATACATACATACATACATACATACATACATGAGTTTCTTCCTGTGAAGAACAGACTCTTGTATTTTTGGTTGTGAGCCTAGCCTTTAATGGCTGAGCCATCTCTCCATTCCAAGAACAGACTCTTGTGAGATTCAGGTTTTTAAAATTCAGTTTCATCTGTTATATCCAGATGCTTATTTCCTTCTTAAGCTCCAAAGTTCACTATATAATTTCTTATTTTAATTTTTAAAAATTGAGTCATCTGCTTTTGAATATTTAGTAACCTTAGATATTTGCTAAGTACATGTTTTCAAACATATATTTAATACTTTAAATTTCCCTTTTGAAGACTTACAATGTAAATTTTTCTTTAGTGTTCTAGTAACTAATGTTATGACTTAAATGTAGTCTAAACGTTTCATTCTTGAGTTGGGTTTTCATTGCTGGTGTAAATACCTGAGGAACTAAGAAAGGGTTGCTGTGGTTTATGTTTAAGAGGTTCCTACCAAAACATGACCTGTGCCAAGGCAAGAGAGCATAGCAGCAAACATGTGATGGGGAAAGCTGCTCACCAAAGAAAGAGCTCACTACCACATTAAGCCCTAAACTGTTGAGCTATGAATCCAGAAATAGATTAATTCATTGAGGTCAGAATTCCCATAGTCTGATTACCTTCTAAAGACCCCAATTTTAAGCACTGCTGCATGGGGACCACACATTCAACACACAAGCTTTGGAGGATATTCAGACCCAAACTGTAATAGTTCTCTTCAATATTTCAACCTTCTGTCTCTGGTAATGTTCCAGTCAGTGCCCCAGCCTAGGGTTTTCCATTTGGAAGACCTGCACTCTAGATGTTAACCTCATTTCATAGCATATATCCTTGTGGATCAAATGTAGATCATGAAATTGGGAATTAAAATAGTTTAGATTTGGGGATAGACAGAGAGATGCCTCACAAGTTAAGAATATACAATGGTCCTACAGAGTTCAGTTCCCAACATGCATATCAGATGACTCATAACCACTTGTATCTGCAGTTTTAGGGAATTTGGCAACCTCTTCTGGCCTCTGCAGACTCCTGTACTCACATACACTTACTCAAAACACACATACACACACACACACACACACACACACACACACACACACACACACACACACACACAGGTACGTACAAACGCATGAAGGCACGCACACACGTGTGTACGTGCACACACCACATATATACACATAACTAAAGATAAATAATTTTTAAGAGATTTTAAATTTAAAATTTACTCTGTACCTTTTTAAAACTCATCTTGGTCTTCGGGTTATTATATGACAAACATACCAAGAAGTGACTGGCTCACAGTGAGCAGTATGATTGTCATCTACTGTGGTCTGAAACCAAATCAAAGGAGACACTTTTAAATGTGTATGTATCAATTGTTTGTAAAATTAAAACCCTGAAAGTGTTTTTGCTGAAAAGGGGGAGCAATTATTTTACTGTTTGTATGCTGCCATCATTAAAATTCAGGAAGCCACTTCTGAATGCTTGTTTTGCTTTATGTGTGTAATACACACACACACACACACACACACACACACACACACACACACGGTATAGTGAGGTAGTGTGGCTCATGTACATGGGATAGCCTAGAGAAGGAGGGCACAGCATTGGACTGTGCTTTGCCCTGATTAGCTAGCACTCGATCAGTTGTAGCAGATTCTCAATGCATTTCAAAGTGTGATTCAGGCACTTGTAAAATTGTATGTCTGACAGGAAGGCCTTTCTTCATGCCACAGGCAAATGAGCTCTGTCTTGGAGTAATTATTTTCTCAGCTTCTCTGATGAGGAAGTAGAAGCTAATCTTATCACAAGCATTGCTGTTTCGTTAGCGCTCAGTGGTTTTATTTGGTCCCATGAAAATTGTTCTAGAATGTGTGAGTTTCTACCACTTACTGATACAGGTGGATATTTAATTTTTATAATGCTTGGAAACGATACTGTCCCCAAAACATGAAACCAAAACATACCTATTGCTAGTGAAACTACCATTGTCTGTAGAAATTACCTGTTTTCTTTAGGGAGTTTTACATTTTGTCTTTTTAGCATTTCAAAGTTTATACACTTTGCAGATTGATTAAGAAAAAAGACAGATCTTGTTCATATTGTATCCTTCTTAGATATAATTTGAACCTAAGATCCAAGTTTTAGAGTTTTTAAAATTATTCAGGATGTGTTTATTTGTTTGTTTTTGTTTTTTTTAAAACAGGGTCTTATTCTGCAGCCCTAGCTGGCTTCAAACTCACTATGTAGGCCAGTCTGACCTTGAACTCACAGAGACCTCCCTGCTTTTTCCTCCTAAAGGCTGGGATTAAAGGCGTGCACACCATACCTAGCTCAGAATGTTTAGAAATAGAGTGGGAATATAGAAATTTTAGTAGAAGAATTAAACTAAGAAAATTAATTTCTGTATTGTTTGAAGTTGAAAACAGACTGTGAACCTGGGGAGCCATTTTCATGTTAATTCTTCCAATGAAACATCCCACCCTTTCTGCAAGCCTTGGAGTGCAGAATAGCAAACAGAAAATACTCACTTTCAGGTTCCAGAATGATATGAAAAACTAAAATATACTCCATGGAAAGATGCCAGGCTTATGTTTCCCATATCTGATAGCCAATGCAATTATCGCTTTCACTGTGTGTCTCTTGTTAGCCTAACAGTGTTAATGCAATGGACTTGTAGGTGAAGGTGCCTGTGTGGAAGCATTATGTTTGATTTTCAAGGATGGAACTCCAGATGCCTTAGCCACTTGCCTTTCTAAAATGCCTTCAAATATTAATATTCAATTACACCAAGATAGAAAGTTGGTGGCTTTTGAAAAATGACTGCTAGTACATTACCACATGCTTCTGAACAACATTAGTTTATTAGGGAAGTCTTATAAATTTATTTTAGCTAACAGCCAAGTCAAAACCAGAAATTAAACTGTGGGCAAATACATCCAGTGTGAAGCTTGAGAAAGAAGTTATTAATACCTGTGAAAGGCCAGCTTTGTTTTAATGTATTTTTATTGAACATATGTGATGAATAAAGTGCTCTGGCATGCTTATATTTTCTCCTACTTGGACTTCTTAGAAAGAGCTATAGTTGGATGTTTGTGTTTCAGTAGGAGTAAATTAAGACTTATTTCTATGAAAATGTAGTAATTTATGTACATATTTAATTAATTTTGCCATTGAAAACAACATTCAATCATCTATATCTATCTTCTCTCTATTTATAATCTCTATATACATATATCTACCTGTCATTTATCCATCTATCAATCTATCTATCTATCTATCTATCTATCTATCTATCTATCTATCTATCTACTTACCTATGTATCTATATCTATGAAAACCTATATTTAAAGTAGACTTGATAAGGTTGGAGATTTGGCTTAGTGGTTAAGAGCATTGCTGCTCTTCCAGAGGGCCCATTTTCAATTCTTAGTCCCAGGGGATATGACCACCCTCTTCTGGCTTCCACAGGCACTGTATGCATGCAGTGCACAGACATACATACAGGCAAAACACCCATGCATGAAAAGTAAAATAGATCAATATAATTCCAAAAACAGTAGGATTGACTCTAGATAATTATTAAATATTTGATACAATAAAACTGATATTGAGAAAACAGTTACCCTTTAATGATTACAAACTAATTTATTCTTTTAAAAATAGGGTTAGTGGTTAAGACACTTGCTGCCCTTGAAGAAAACCCAGGTTTGATTTTAAGCACATATACAGTGGGCCACAACAACCTGTACCTCCATTTCTGGGGGATTACATACTATCTCCTGTCCCCCAGGGACACTAGGCACACATAGAGCATAGACACATACATGCAGGCAAAACACAAATATACATAAAAGTAAGCAAATCTTTAAAATAAATAAATAATAAATTAAAATGGGAAATTATTTGGCAATATTGTCACTAACCCTTTGGTATCATCTCTCCTTATGATAAAGTAAAGTTTTCTGTATGTTCCCCATTTTAATTTTACAATTTAAATTCCTGTCAGGAAGGAGGTTGCGTGAAGGCTGGGGTTTGTGTTTAATGCTATGTTCATGTGCTTCTTTAGGTGACTAATGCTTTTCTTTATTTCTTTCTTCTGTCTATGAACAGGAACTATCGAGAACAGAGGTATGTGATTATAGTGATCTGAAGAGATCTGAAAAGTTTAACCCTTTGTATCACTGTTGGAATTCATACATGCAGTTTCAAGTGCGATTTTGTCTTTTATGTAGTAATGATCTTGACCTTTTATGATTTTAAAATAATAATTAAATTTATTTTAATATCAATGTGTATCTAGAAGTAGATTTTTTCATCAAAAACAAACCTTTATGTTAAGTTGTCATGTTTGTTTACATTGGTTTATTGGCTTTCCTTCATGTTTATAATGGTCTTATTACCTAATTTTGTCTGAGGGAAGTTATTTTTGTTATTGTTGTTGTAGTACTAACTTTCGTAAGTTACAAGGTTTATCATTTGTTCCTATCAAGGGGATGTTCTGCAATGTTCTTTATGTAAGAAAATATTTTCGTATGATTCATAATCATAAAGGTAGCATAAGAGGGAATTTGCATAGTTAGCATTTCTGAGCTGTTGTGCCTCCTGTGCTAATATTACATAAAATCCAAAAAGTCAAGCACCTACTTAACATAATCTTAAGATCTCCATTTAGCACACAGTGTAAAAGAGACAGAGTGTCATTGTTTTTATAGGAACTGCCAGTTTTGTCCAAATTGACATAGTATTTATTGAGACAGGCGTTTCACTTCTCACATTTTAAAATTTATTAATTCTACTTGCTGTTGGTATCCAAAACTTAAATGCTATCTTGAAAACTGATCAGCCCAGCCCAGGTATTGATTGCACATACACTATTCACTTCTCGGTTCAGAATATTTGCACTGATTCCTGCTTAATTTTTCCTCTGTCCCATCGATTGCCTGTGGCAGTTTAGAGATAGATATGATAAATATAGTGAGACCTTTTCAGACTCTGGCCACAAGATTCATTGTTTTTCAGAAATCAAATTTTTAATCATTACTCTTCTATTTCCTTTATTTTATAATTTAAACTCTATAAGGCTTTAGCTGTCAATGTCTATAGAATCTTTGTGACTACATGACAACCAAAGATACCAGTTGAAATCCTGATCATACTTGCATTGAAACAATAATCTATAATAATCCTAAATTTAGATATTAGGAATATTTCCCTTAGGGTAGCAAACCCATTATTAGAAAGAATGAAACTTAAAATTTGTTAAAACTTAAATACAGCTGGATTTCTTTGTGACATGTCTTGAACTCATGAGTATAGAAGTATATGAAGAAAGCAGGACCTCTTTAGGTTTCCTGTGGGTAAAAAGTTTCCTAGTCATATTGGAAATCTAAGATTTGTAGATGTCTTCAGTAGAAAATAGAATTTATTTGGTGAGATTAAAATGTCATTAAGATTTCATAACCATTTCTATTGGAACTAAGTAAAACTATGACAATATTGCTGAATACATAAAAGGAAAGAACATGCCGCAAGTACATAACATAAGCAAAGCTATACCCGTGCTCTGAGGTACTCTATAGATGCTCTCCAGAGCATGGAAACTGCCTACCATGAAAAAAATGATTGATATTGGAAAACATATACCAATTTATTATTCTGATTAAGCACATGCATAGTTAAAAATGTTTTCATACCATCACTGTCTTTTCTATGTGATATAATTTAATGCCTCCTGGTGCTACAGCCATTGTTGCATAGATATGATGACTTCTGAAATCCAGACCATGTCTGGGGAGTCATTCCATCTTCAGAGAAATTAATTCTAGATATTTTGTTATATCTGAATGAAACTTTACCCCCTTGTCTGTGGCTGGTGAATATTAGTTCTTTGTAACAGTTCTCAAAGTGGAGAGCAACAGAGGCTGGGTGCTAAATCCAGAAGTTGTGCACAGAAGTGTCTTTAGGCTTCCTGTAGGTGACATGCATTAATGAGTAGAGGGCAAATGGGAGGGGCAACAGACACAGCATGCATCAGTACATTTTCTACCCTATAAAATTATCTTCAGACATTTGAATCAAGACCCATCTGGTTCCAAAGATGCTAGGAACTAAAGCCAAGAATTTTGATGTTGTCATTACCTTTAAATTAGGATTACCTTTGCAGTCTTCTGGTGGGAAGCCCTACTGGCAAGAAGTTAGTAGTTAATCTGCTATTGTGTGATGTAGGAAAATTGCTGACATTTCTCAGATGTTCTCTGTATGCTTAAAGCAGTGTGGTCAAGGGAGAGGACTGCAGTTGAGGCCCACACATGCCTTTTAGCTGATAAATATGAGCTTTCGCTTTGGCATTTAGGGCTTCAAGCAATATTAAATATATGGGCATTTGCCAGATGGCCGTTAACTTAGAAAATGGTCTAGAAATGACAGATTGGGCCTAATGATTAGACTTTTGGAAAAGATAGGCATGCAATTCTATAAATGAGCCAGATAACAAACATCCTGCACAACAGCAAGAAAATAGAAGCCCCGTTCTAAGACTTAATTGAAGTATACCCCCCACACATAGAAGTATAGTACTTTACATCCTCTAGTGGCATTCTGGGAAGGCTAGGAACCATGGAACCACAGAGCCACAGTGAAGCCTTAGATATTAGTCATTGCAAAGACAGTTACTTGCCTTTTTCTTGAAAACCTCCATGAAAGAAGACCCCCACCCATTTCCCCAGCCAATTTTATTGTTTCTTGAGGAATAATCGCATAGAGTATGGTAGCTGTATGGTTTACAGCAAGAACTATAAATTCTAGTTTTCAGTCAGATTTGCACATACAAACAGGATAAAGACTATTTGTTGGACTTAAATTTATAAACCATCCATGTTTGGTTGAAATCCTCTCTCTTTGTTTGAAATAAACACATGTCACTGTGACCAATAAGGAGCATGGTCATTAGACCTCATCCTTCTGCTCTGGGATTTCCCCTGAAGCAGAATCTCTCCCTCATCTCCTTTCTTTATCTCTCATCTGTTATATTCATTCATTTTCTTTTTGTGGATTCCCCACTTTTTCTTTCCAAAACCTTTTTGGCTTCTTTTTAAATTTTGTTTTCATTTTATTTTATTTTATTTTATTTTTGCATTCTTTATATCTTAGGGATAGTCATTCATCCATCTGTCAACATGACTTGGTATAACTTACACAATATTTCTCAAAACAAGAGAGTAACAATTCCTTTAAGAGACAGCCCAGGCACTTACCAGGGATTGGAGAAATGTCTCTTCCATACCTAGTTTATGACCTGGACACCTCTCCCCACCCTGTTTTCTGATTTTTGAGTATGCATATGGATTGATGAGATAAATATTGATGCTCAATAGATACTTTTAAGGAAGGTCAAATTTCTCTCATACTCAGACAAACCATTTAAAGGGTTAGTGCAAAAAAAAAAGAAATGAAAGAAAAGAAAAACCTTTCTTGATGTTTACATATATGAGGGGGTCAATACTAGCTGGTTTATAATTATGAACACATTGTTATCTAAAGTAGAATAAAAGCAGTCAATAATCTTGTAAATTGTAGATGTGGGAAAATAATAATTAGCATGGTCATAGTCTGCCCCAAGTCGTTAAGTGATAGGTGTTGATCCTTGTATTAGCAAATAGAAATTCCTTAAATAATGTTATTTAATAAGGTACATTAGCTCAACCAAGAGGTATATAGAGAAAAAAATGACACCTTGCAACTAATATAGGAAAGGTTGATCATTGAGGAAATAGAATTCAGTCAATAAGCATTTTTCTTTTGTTATGTATATCTAAAATATTTGTATAGGGCGTAATAAAAATACAGAAAATTTCCCATTTGAAAACCTACCACCTTGTCAGTCCAAATAATTACTTTCAGGATCCAAATTGGGAGAAACATTAAAAAACACTAAAATTTTGAGACAAAAGCCATAAAAACAGTAAACAATTGGAAAAAGAAGTTCAATCAAAATTTTAAAGGAGTTCATCTAGTTGATTTTCTATGATTTTTCATAGCAAGTGATGGAGTGTTATTTTATTGATCACAGGAACCTGGATTCTCTCCTTATACTAAAGCAGGTAGTAGTAGTCTGCAAAAGTATCAAAAATAGATACTGAAAAAGGATGGATTTTGAGACAGTGAGGGATGTTCAGCATGACTCTAAAGAATGCCATCAGGAAATCAATAATTTATTGCTGGCATTTGCCATGTAAGGAGAGTTAGTTCCATTCCTTGTGGAATTTTTGAGGAGACCTCTAAGAAGTAATATCTATGTTCCTAATACTTTTACACACTGGTTAAGAATCCAGTGTGGCCCAGATGATAAAAAAAGGAGTACCTAGAACTCTACTAAATTGAAACTTTTCTAATTCCAGGACTGATTCCTTTATTTTTGGTGGAACCTCTATCAGTCAAGGGTAGAGCTGGTTTTAGAAATTAGTTTAGTGAGAAATTTTTCCTTTAGTGTGTGGATCTAAGGTCACATAAAGTAAAATTAAAATATATGCTTTATTTACATCCACTGAACAATCGTTTTTTGATTTGTAATATATGAGTGTCTAAATAATTTAGGAGAGGATGTTCAGTCAGAAACAACTAAGCATTTTAAACAATTTATATGGTATAGGAATCAAAATAATGAAGGGAACATCTGAAAGGGGTTTCTGAGTATTAAAACAATATCAGCAAACAATCAAGGTAATTAACAAAAACTGAATTGAAAGGGATGTAGGGAGCATATGCTTGTTGGAGACTTATTGTTATACACCTGTTTGAAATTCTTAGTCCATTCCTAGCTTTTGACACCTCCACCTATAGCATGAGTGAAACTGGTCATGATTTGGATACATTTGGCTGTTTGAAGTCACACATTAGATGACTACATTGGCGGTGGGCAGAGTATTCTGGGGGTACTGAGAGTTTTTTCCAGTTCCCTTAGGAGAATTAGCGAGACTGTTGCTGTCTTAGCTCATTCAGAAGGAGGCAAGTGTCTTGCCCTCCCCTCCTGCTGTGGGTGGAGATAGGAAGTGTCCCCACCATCTGTCATAGATGACTTTCCATAGTCTCCCAATGAGCTCAGCTACTTTTCAACTCTTTCTTCCTCTTGCTAAGTTACATTCCTTTACACATTCTACTGGGTGCTATAAAATTTCTGTTTTGATTCAAATTTGAATCCTTTAAATTTCCTTTGAATAATGATGCTGCAAAGTGAACTCAAAATCCTAATAAGGTTTTATTTGGATTCAACTATAGAATAACTGAAAGCAATCAAATCTTTTAAAACTAAGTCAAGGATATATTCTTCATACGTTTCAAATAATGAATAATTTATTCACCACATTTGAGAGAGCCTGCTTCATTTGAGCAAGGATTGCCTAAACACATCCTCAACATCCATTTTTTAAAAGAAACAAAGTTATTGTGGTCAACATCTCCAGGTAGGGTGATGCTGCATTAAAAATAACTCATCTTTCCATATTTCTCCTGAAAACAAAGCTTTACTCATCCAGCCTACTAAGACTTCATGGTTACATTTCTGTCTTCTGCAGCTAGAATGAGTTGAATGTGTCGCATTTATTAATAATCTCATATGTTATAGATTTGATCATGTAGACCATTATCCCTATCTCTCTTTTTCCTGGAATGATATCTGTATATGTCTGTGTTCATGCGTGTGTCTTGTTTTCTGACTCTGAAATGTTTATTATGCCTTAGACAGTTACCCCAGGGAGATTATGTTAAAAAGTCTGGAGATGGCGACTCTTTTTATAGCGACATCCCTCCCGGAGTCAGCACAAACTCAGCATCTAGTTCTAAGAAGAGGTCTGCTTTTCTGTCGCATTTTCAGATTTCCACCTGCTCCATCACACATTATTCCATTAGTCAGAACATTTCATTATTTTGCAGCAGGTTTGGTTACTTCTTCCTTCTTTCTTGAATGTTAAAAGAGTATCCCTTGTTCTTTGATGACTCCACTTCAAAATGCCATATGCTCGGGACCACTGTGTATAAAAATCAGGCTACAAAATTTAGCCCAAAATGCCAGAACACTAAATCTGTGCAGTAAACCCCAGGGTGTTCCTTGTCATGTTACGCATGGCTTAAGAAACAAAACGGAGTATTTGAAAATATTTTTACACGGTGAGCTTTATGTCATGCTTGGTAGTCAAAGAAAAAGGGTACTGTCATGCTTCAATAAAGGCAATTAAGATAAATTGGTAATATAAGTGCTGCATTGAATAGTTTTTAATTTTGTATATTTCAAAGCTAAGCTTGCTGTGAAAAAAAGATTGCATCTCTGTGAATCATATATTTTAATATGATGTTTCTCTGGAATGATTATTTGTAGACTTATAACTTTCATCTTAGTTGATAAATTAGGTATAGTTAGGATTACTATATTATTTATGTCTCAAACTCTAATGATATATTCTTGTTCTAGCATCTTAAGATGTATGACACCTTTTGAAAGTCAGTTCACTTTATAATCAGTTGATAATAAATGACTAGAACTAAATAGTATGTTTCACAGGGTGGGGCCTACCTTCACATTAAAGGAAACTAAAATATCCTTGTAAAAAAATCTTTGAAGTTTCTATTGAGGTGTAATGGATGGTGAAAAAGTTTCAGTTGGTCCACTCATAACTCTGGGCACTTTGTAGACTGAAGGAGCTAGTTTATTGCCAGGGAACATGGTCTCTTGTGGTAGTCCAAGTAGAGTGGATGATCTATCTGTAAAGCAATCTGCACTGGTACCCAATCCTTATAGGCACCAAATGTGAATCCAGAACAAATAGTCACTGGGAACTGTCTTAAGCACATTTCCTTAGATTACTGAACTCAAAGCAAAAGTCATGCTAGTTTTGATCCTGGGAGTACATGCTATAGCACACACTGTATAGAATATAAAATTCCTCTTCTTATTTATTATTGAGCCTGGGAGTATATGTTATAGCATACACTGCATAGAGTATAAAATTACTCTTCTCATTTATTATTGAGGATTCATTGGCTAAGGGAGAATGCCTGGGGACCTACCAGCATTATCTGGTATGAATGTTTGCTTGATCAAATATAGAATTTTTAAGTTAAATTACAGTAAAAAGTGGAGAAATCAGTGGGTTCTAGAGCCTTCATTGGCCTTTCATACAAAATATGAATGGCTTTTTCATTAGAGAATGATGTTGAAAAAGTTCCAACATAGAAAAGCAGTGTATATGAATTGTGCCAAATTCTGTTTGCTTTTTGTCAGAAGATTCCTTCTGAAATTCATATTATTCATAATTAACCAGAGTGATTCAGAGGAGAGTGGCTTGGGCATAGTGCTGTTTCTACAGTTGCTAATAAGGAGCTTTGAAATGCACAGGGCCAATTCCCAGATCTTGGAAAATAGTACAATAGGCTGTGATCAGTCAAAAGCATATCAAATTATTAGGCTCCAGACTAGGCTTGTCTCATTCTTTTCATTATGAAATTTCATAAAAAATTTCATTTTATGGTATAAGGTAGGTGTGTTAATCTTGATCCTTATAGCAAATTCATTTAGTAATAGTAGGATACAGTAGCAGAAGGGCTCAATGGTACATGGGCTTTGTGAGAGATATTCCATGATAAAGATCTGATTTAGTTCAGTCATTGGACAGTTAATTGAGATGCATTATATTCATTGGGGGCATGTTTGTGTAGAAAAATGCCAATTCTCAGATAATAATTTTATTAATTTAAACATGTGTATTACTTTCATAAAGTTAACCAGGTTCAGTTGGGCAAATTTTATGCAATCTCTTAAAAGTCCATGTTCTCATAATATTTGAATGGAAATCATTGCTTTACAATTAAGAAACATCTATGGTGGGACCCCATTATAGCCCTACTGCTGGGGTTATGTGACTGTAATACTCGCTGAATCTGTTCTGTGGTTGCTGTGTTCTGGAGAATGTAAATTGGCTTGCATTATATCCTGCTACTTTTCCATTTATGACTATTGTAATGGGGTTCCATTGTATTTGACTTTTCTTAAATTGAATGTTGTGTAATTCTGCCTTCTTCATGAAGACTTTCATGTTTTCTTCATTCTTTCATTTCAGATTTTTTTTATTGATTTGCTTTATTTAATGTGCAGTAATGCTTACAAATTTTGCTTAGTGACGCCAAAACATTTATCCGATTATATTTTTGAACAATATGTAAATACTTCTACTTTCAGGTCAAATGGGCTCTCTCATTCCTGGAGTGAAAGGATTCCAGACACAAAACATATTTCCGACATCTGTGAAAATGGGAGACCTCGAAGTAACTCCTGGCAAGGTAGTGAACAGCATTCGGAGTCCAAGATGTATTCTGGGGTCCCTGTAAAGATATATTCTTTCCCATAAGCCATCCAGCTCTTCTCCCAACAAACAGGCTTAGAATGAGAGACCAGCTGCTTGTTTTTGTTGTTCTTTGAAGTTTCATTGATGGGAAATGGTGGTTTTAGTAGCTAAGTAGGGAGGGAACATTGGAAGATGGTGTAATACCACAGAGACCCACATTTGGAGGCAATTCACCCATTGCAAGTACCATGCAATTATACATAAAACCATTACTTATCTATATGAAAATTCAGCTGTAAATGTTCTTTTTCAGGTAACCTTGGAGGCAACAAAAAGAAAATCAGAGGCAAAAGATTTAGACCTCGATCTAATTCAACTGAGTAAGTTATACATTTAATGGGAAAGGTCCTATGCTATTAGTGACGACTGTTAACTAAGCAGATAGTCAAAGAACCACCTACCATGCCTCTGGAGTTGTTTTTTGTGTTTTTTAATTCTCTTTGCCCTGTAAGAATTAACCTTGGCTTTTCTCTTTTACATAGGCATCTCCGCAACTGTGCCCATACCAATATTCACTGATAGTGGGGGTCTCACCCTCCAGTCACCTGCCATTCTGGTGTTTTGGTTTCTTTTGAAGGGAATTGTGATAACTTTCTTTTCGTCTCATCACTGGGGGTCCAACCATTTCAAAGGGTCACCCTTCCTCTCCCCTGGAAGCACTATGGATAATCCTCACCCTATTATAGCCAGCTAGTACTCAGTCAGAAGCCACCCCTCTGAGGTCTCCATGGCTGCTATCTAAGCATTCTCTCAGACTAATGGAAAGAGCTTCCCTTTTAAGTTTCCCTCCTGAGGACCTTTAAAAGGCCATTTACCTAAACTTGCTCTTTGTCTGAATCATTGTCACTAATGCAACTTTAACTGTTTTAAATGATAGCCACATTTTTTTTTAGTGGGGTTAAAAGTTAAATTTAAAGTCATTTATAAGGAAGTAAGCATCATGCATTGTTTTTGGTGGTGTTTATTTCTTCACTTGAGAAAATGCAAGCAGATCATTGCCTCCACAAGCCCTTATACCCTTCCTAGGGGTAAAACACACCCTCAGTTTTTTTTCCAAGGGACCTTGCCTCCTGGAAGTAACTATAGTTACCCTTGCTGTTGCCAAGGTGCCTGAAACTTTCTGCTCATGATTCACTCTAGGGTAGTTGTTCTCAGGATCTCTGTATTACTTACAAAAATCTGAGTAGCAGGTGTTTGCTAACTGCTTGTTAGAAACTTACCTTAGCTTTTCCATCATATGCCCTGCCTTTTTCAGTCTAGGAATAATAACATTGCCCTGAAATTTGGACCTTCCACCTGAATGGTATTGTCTTGTAAGTGGCTTATCAACATATGTTAGAGGATACTTTGACCATAGAAATAATAGCGATTTCAAGTGATACCATCGCATGGTCCAGAATGGCATCATAGACCTCCATCATGAACAACTAATTTACCAGAGTTTATCTTCTGCATTCCCAAAGTGCTTGGGTGCTTTAGGGTTCACTGCAGATAAACTCTGCCTGGAATGTTATTTGATTTGTTTTGCATGAGGCCACCTGGTAAGAGGGCTCCTCAGCTTATCCTGGTTGCTCATAAGGTTAAGGCTACACTTGTGAAATGTTCTTTGGAACTTCCTTTGTGGACTGTTTCTATGACCAGACTTTGACAGCTCCTAAAGAGAAAATCAAGTTCAGCAGTATATTGAAGCAATGGGTTCAAGACCCAGAGAACATTTGATATTCACCAATATTCACATAATTTTTAAAAATGTATAAAATTCCACTCATATCACATGATAAAATTATATTATGGGTAACCTTTAAGAACTCTTGCCTGTGATATTAAGTTCTAATATTTAATGTGGCAGCATAATAGAAGTTTCTCAGTAAAGAAGAAAGGTCCGCTCACATTTATCAGAGTTTTCTGAATTTGGCTACATGACTCATGTTAATTAATTGGAACAAAGTTTTCGAAGCTGACCATGCATACAGAAATATTCTTGTATGGGAGCTGAACACACACACACACACACACACACACACACACACACTCACACACTTACATACTTCTGAAAATGTGGATTTGTGGTACACAGCATATCAAAAATTATGTTAGCAACTTTTTATACTTTCTCTACATAAGTCATACCATTTGGTTATGATATAACCCTACCATTTGTGTGACTGTACTAGGAGCAGAATGGCCACAGGAAAGATATTGAGACAGGATTTCTCTGTGTAGCTTTGGAGCCTATCCTGGCACTTGCTTTGGAGACCAGGCTGGCCTCGAACTCACAGAGATCCGCCTGCCTCTGCCTCCTGGGTGCTGGGATTAAAGGAAAGATATCCTTTTTTTCTTCATAATAAGAACTATTTCAGGGTTTGTGGTGCTGAACTATATCATTCCCTTTAGTGCCACATCATCCAAAAGGATGATGAAAAGTTTGGGCCTGGATTAAAACATGCACCGCCAATGCATGCTCTGTAAACTAAAAAACAAAACAAAACACTAACTGTCCTTGTTGGTTACATTGTTTTCCCACTCAAAAGAGTTCGCATCTTCCTTGTTGTTGTTCACACTATAAAAATTTTTTTTTGGCTCAGACTTTGTATTATATATTGTGTTTTTACAGGAGGGAGCCCCAAGCTCCTGAGCCTGGGCACTCCCTCGCCCAGACAATCCTATCCCAAGGCATAAGTCCAGGGGGCTCTGACAGCCCCCAGACAGGGAGTCTGGATCACAGGTCAGTCTCCACTTGCCCATGCATTCTGGGCTGCCACTTAATCTTCCTCAAAGTCCCTTCCTTGGCTGAGAGCAGGGTCCTTTGATCTTTGACTGAGCCCCTTATCTGCTCAGTGGTGCTCCTGACTCAGTCAGCACCCGCTGGCTTTCCATCCTGGAGAACATAAAGAGGCTCTCCTATGCTGTCCAATGCATTTTTATTTTTTATTTCTTGCATGTTGCACTAACAAGCCACGCTAAGTCAAACCATATAGACAGGGTTATTGTAGTCTGATAGAGGCTCATCGCTCTAGCCACCATGCCAGGTCCCCAGAGCTCTCCAGCACAGATTTGAAACTGAGGCTAAGGTCCATGACTTCCAAGTCAAGCTATGTGTTTGAAACTTTTGTGGGTCAGCCATAGTACCTGTCCTTTGACTTTCAGAGATTGTCAGTGAAAGGAACAAAGGTCTCCCCCAGGAAGTGGCTTCCTGCCTGTGGGACACTGAGTTTGCTGTGTGGCAGTGTTTGCCCTGACAACGGCTGCATGGGCTTCTCCTAGGGTTATTCTGAGGCCGTTCACTTCATCAGGGGCTGCACTTGCTTTTGGACTTTTTCTTTCTGTTCTAAGTCCCAGTGGAAATGTTCACACAGATTTTAATTGGCTATCTCTGTGAAAAGTGCAAGTTGGCAATGATTGTGGCTAAAGGCAAAACTAATGTGAGTTCTTCCCAAATTGGGAGATGTATCTTAGCAAAAATGGTCTTGTAAGCATACAAATCAACTGAACCCTTCTTTCAGGGTGAAATCATAATTTTTATTTTGCAGAATGCCTTCTTAATGGCTCAAAATGAGGGAAAGAGCTGTGGAGAAATAATCTGATTTTTAAATATAACTGGAAATATAGTAGTTTTGATTTAAATATATTTATATATAACTCAAAGACTAAATATGGAGGAAAGAAACAAATCTTAACTTAAAAATTAATATGCTTTATAATTCCACCAGATTTGTTTCCAAATAAATCTTAAAGAACCGGGATCTTCATTGACTAGGTACCACACAGCTACTTTTTAAGAGGAGGAAGCCCAGTAAAACCTCCAAATTCCTCCAATGCTGAGATTGTTAAATTAACGTTGTTTTATAAGAGCAGATCGTAAGGGGATGTGTTTTTGCTTGGCTCCACAATACAAATCAGAGAAACTCCGTGGAAAGCAATGACTATACCTCGTTTTGCTACCTTTGAGATTTGCACGGTCATCCTGGTGGTGCTGCTGCCAGATCCATCAGGGAGATGCTAGCATTATTCCCCGACAGCTATTCTTTTGGAAAGCAACTTCTGAGGGCTGTTTCCTAAGGCAATCACAAATGCTTTAGTCTGGAGTGCACAGAGAGGAGGTTGGAACTGTGGGGCTTCAATTAAATCACTGAACCTAGCTTTAAGATCGTGGAGGCCTACTTGAACTGTAGTGAATGTGCTTGGGGACTCCAGGATGGGGGTGCAGGACCCTTTCTGTTCCTTACAGAAGCCAACTAGAGAGCACTCCTTAGACTCTGTCATAGAGAGTAAATCAGTGGTTGTGTAAAAAGCGTTCCTAATCTATAATGAGAACTTGGCTCCTTTAAATTGTCTTGAGGTTATATGTGCCTAAATATCAGATTGGAATTGCAGCCACCCTGAATATTTTCAAAAAGCATCAATATTATTTGAAAACCAAGGAGCCAGTTGAGAAGTGGCTTGGGAAAAAGGCTGCCTTTGAGGGGTTAACGAGACTTCTGATAAAAAGAGAGATTCTGGCTGATGGGGGGAAGCCACTGGAAGAGGCTTTCCTAGAAATGTAATATGTTATAGAATGTCTTGTGCCTTGTAGCTGAGATTATTTTCATGCCATTGTGTAGACTGCCTCATAGTCACCCAATGTCCATCCTGGTTTATTTGCCATAGTCACTTGCATTTGGAGGGTGAAAACATCATGGCTAAGCTTGTGCTGTGTATTTTCAGATTTTCTATCTTGTTCTGCTTTCTTTGTTCCTTCCATTGCTTTCTGCAGGTATTTAAACCCATGGTTCAAAAGAGACTATAATGTAGCTAAGTGGGTAGAAGATGTGAATAAAAACACAGAAGGACCATACTTTAGGTATTTTATAAATTAATTTTATCTTCCTTTCACACTCCCCCAGCACATACACGTATTTAGTGTGACTGGCTCTCTCTCTTGTATCTCCTAATACAAGTTCTTGTAGGTGGAAAGGGGCCTCATTCATTTGCTGCCTTTTGATGTATTTGGCTTCCTGAGCGAGTCTAGTTCTTTTCTAAATGTTTCAAATGAAGGCATTTGAAAGGGTTATCATTTAGTGCATGTCCCTATCACCCTTTTGAGCTTTTTAGTAGCTTTCTCTTCATTTTATGCTATGTAGTGTTCTGTGGGCATGAAACATACCTTCCACTAATAAAAATGCACTATTAACCGCAACAATTTAGTTTCCATAATCTAGAAGTTCCATAATATATATTTTTCCTTCTTACTATCTGAGAGTGCATAGTGCATAGAAAAACTCAAAGAAAAACATACAAAGAGACTAAACTGGAATTTTATTTCAAGCAGAAACAATGATTTGACAGAACTGGAAAACAGCTGAGATATTATTGCTCATCTGAAAGCATGTTGTGAACTTGGCTTTCTTTGTCCCAGCGAGCCATTTGCTAGCACTGGGGCTGTGCTGAGAAGAGTATCCTGTAGATTCTCAACCAAGCAGTACAGGGCTTTCATGTCTCACAAGCAGGAAGCAGAGAGAAAGCACCCGCTTAACAATGAAGCCTCCTACAGTCTAAATGCTCCCCAATTTCCCCAGTTCCCTGAAGCTTGTGTAACAAATCAGAGAACATTCCTTGGGCCTCTCAATGTCACCCCACTCTTTACCACGTGAATGATTACCTAGAGGTAAATGACCACTTTATATCTAACTACTGTGTGGAAACTAATGCAAAGAGGAAATGGAGATCGGCCACTGCCTCTTCAGAGCACAACTGGAGTTTTCATGCTCCTTATTGCCACAATTGGGGTCAGCACTGGATGGATATGAAAATATGCTATGTATATTTAACTCTCAGCACCCATATAAGGTGGGCTTTCTCTTCCAGCGTACCATTTAGTTTAGTTATGTATAGTTTGAGAAAATGATTAGACCTACCTGCATTTTACTTTGATCCATAACTTTTGCATATACCCCAAGGAAAGCATAACTCCTGCCTGCTCACAAAAGTATACCCTGCTTTTATAGCCCATCACCCTCTCCCTCCCTGCCCTCTGCTTGCCCAACACTTCCCCACACTGAACCTCATATACATACACACTCACATTCAAACATCCCACCTTCACCTGTAGCTCCCAAGATGGCCAACATCAGGAAGACAGGTAAGATGGTTTTGATGTTATTTGGAGTCTTGGCTCACCTGCAGTCCTTTTTCTTTCTTTCTTTGTCTTTATCAGGCTTTTGGGCAGATTGTAATTTGTATCATCCAGGGAACCAAAACAGGATGAGTTTGGTTCTACATAGGTTAGGCCTTTTATTTCTAAATCGACAGCATTTATATGGAAGTAATTTATGAAATGGTACCCCGGAAGAGTCTGTGTACCTCCCCTGGGTGAGCTGAGAAGTTGGTGTAACTCAAGAGTCCTTGTTGCTTTAAGTCAGTCCCCAGTCTGCCCAGAAGCTGCATGACTGAGCACCATTTGGATGGGGAAATGCTTCAGCACCCCTGCTTGCACGAGCCAAGCTATAAGGGAAATTTGAGAGGGTTCCTTTATCTCATCTTTTAAGCAGAGTGGCTGGTACCTACAGCACAGACTCACATTAAGGAATTAATTATAAAAAATGTATGTTTTTGTTTAAATGGTAAAGTCTGTGGACAGTTGTGCTTTCAAAAGTCTTTTTTGACTAAGAAGGGTTGGGGCTGGTAAGGCTTGGAGATCAACTCTGCATTTCAGTAGCAGTGGGAAGTAATTAAGATAAGCCCAATTCTGAGCAGCATCAGAGCATTGTCTACCCTCCATCCCAACTAACCTTCACATAGGTAGGCCTAAGTGTGCTCACACCCAAGCCTGGGCTTCACCAAACCTGTGCTTTACCTCTCTTGATAACACCCGAAGATGGGGACACAGGTCATCTTCTTAATCACCCATGTGGGGTTGGATTTGGGACATTCTTACCAACATGTAGTGGAGACTTAGTGACTGCAGCAAACTGGTTTGCCAATGAATGAAAACATAGTAGCCCTGAACTACAAGGACAGACAGTAAAACCTACAGGTGTGCTCTCATATGACAGTACTTACCCTAACTGTGCTCCCAATGTCTTCAGGCCACTGGAAAAGTGCAGGTGAAATCAGAGAAAAAACATTGGATCACCACCCCAGATCCTGGGAGCAGTTCTGCCCCGGGGCACTGCCCTTCAAGTCCCTAGGAGGTGTACATGCTCTTGGTGCTACCCAATGGGTTCCTCACTTCATCAGCGTTATTTTTAAGTCCATTTCAATGATCTTTGGAAACCACATTGATTCTGCAAGTGAATTATAGAAACTAAGGTGTCAAATGCCTACTATATATGTTTCTCACATCCCAAAAGGTAGGCTCCTTTTTGTGGATGGAGAAAACTGGGATACAAAGAGTTAGCCAAAATAGCACATCTCCTATATCAGAAGCAGAGCTGGAGCTTGGCTGCTCACTGACTCCCAAGTCTGTTGCTGCTATCATTTCTCTGCGGCTGCTGTAAGGCTGTAGAGGGTTTGGAAGACTAGAACTGACTGAGGACACTTCAATCCTTCTGGAACAGATTATTATAAAATTAGCATGTGAACACAGTAAGGAAGGAGGCTCTGTGCCCCCTTCTTGATTTGCAGCCCCAGAAGTCAGATACAGTCCCACAGTCCATTGGCAGACAAGTACCTCCCACTGTAGTTATTATGTTTTTTTTTTAATGTCACTAGGATAAATGACTAATATTTATCCAGAAATTCACTTTGCTTTGTCAGCAAATGAGCTTAGCTGACACTTGGCTAAATGAAAGCCAGGTTAGAATTAAAGGCTTCCCTTTGGCAATTGTGATAGGTTGTCAGCTTATTTTCCCTAAGCTAGCTTACCTTATCCTTTCCTTTCGTTTTGATCTCTGCTCTGGTCTTTTCCATCCACACACAAGAATCTGTTTCCTGGCTTTTCACCGCTGAAAATGTCCTGCTTGGTTTCTCTTCTTCCCTTCAAGATCCAAAGTATAAATTACCTAAAGTTCCACTGTGAGAACTCATGCAGTCATTTCTGTGGGGTTCTGAAGAACACATACAGTTTTGTTTTGTTTTAAGTCACTATTGTTTGTGCCCGTGCAAAAATATTTCAGAGCAAGGCTGGTTGCTCTACCACTTCTCACTGGAATGGTTTTGAATGTACAGTGTTGGTCATTTGAGCCCAAGGCCAAGTTAAGACTGATGTGGCTATAACATATAAGCTAACAGCTCATGCAATGCACACACACACACACACACACACACACACACACACACACACATACACACACACACCGGCTGCAGCAAACTAAAATGAGGACTTGGTTTCCATGACCATAGAATAAATAGGATTTGGTTGTATGTCTGACTGCCTTTCCTAAACTTGGATTCTCATAAATCTCATAATGATTTGGCTAAAAAAGCTGGATCTATAGGCAAGTTTTACACTTATTTGATACATATTGAGTCTGTTTCCTAATAATCATGGTCCTATTTATTTTTAATTTACCTTAAAAACTATTTAATTTTTAAATTATGAATTTATGTATCAGAAGCTTTGTTGGTAGCACCTTTTCTGTGCTGTATGAGTTCCATCTCCAGAACCCACAAAAAAAGCTAGGAGTGGTGCCCTGTGTTTGTAATCTCAGTACTGGGGAGACAGGGACAGGCCAACTGTGGGGTTTAATGTCCAGACAACCTAGCTTAACCCTAGGCCTGTGAGACACAGCCTCAAAGGATAAGGTAGATTGTGCTTCAGGAACAACACCAGAGGTTGACCTCTGTTTTACATACACAGCATACTCTGTACACATGTACTTGTGTGCACATGCATATCTTCACAGACACAGACAGGCAGACACACACACACACACACACACACACACACACACACACACACACACTGTAGCTGTGCTACTCTGGTAGAACTGAAGAGAAATTGAAGTACTATCACTCATTACTTCCATCTTCCCAGTACGGAGAGTGTCAGTGTAAGAGAAGCCTTGTAGCTTTCTGGCTGCCTTCCAGCAGTTCCTGGTAAGGAGCCATCCTGAGTAATCTTCAAAAAAACAGAAGGAAAAGTAGGAGTTAATGTTTAAAAGTGAATGGGGCCACTTCTGACTTTTAAAGTCAATCAAGAATGTTTACCTGGATCTCAGAGTATATAGGAAAAAAGCCATTCCAAATGTTAGATTGAATTCAGCATCTTAAAAATCAGAATTTGTTTGAAAAGCCACGGGAGCCTTTCCTGGTCCAGTGTTTGATGACCACAGTGCCAGGGTGATCCGGTCGCAGCAGAGGAAGTCTTGAGTTGCATGTAGTGTTCAGGGGTTTCCAGTAGGGACTCTCACAGAGAAGCTAGGCGCAGACATGTCTTTCCCAGCATGCTCAGCACAGTCACAAGTACAGCAGTTGCAATAGGCCTATCAAACCACAGCAGAGTAAGACTGCTGCTTTCCCAGATATGCCAATGCAGGGATGAAGTAGACCATTTTTGTATGTTCTCATCAGACTTTGTTTGGCTGGAACTGTGCACTCCTTACTGCTTGCATGTTTACTAATTTGTTATTAAAACCCTTGTATTTTCCTTTGTTCTTCACAACTAACACACAGGCCTCTGAATGCATGAGTTTTGTGTAGAGTATGACTTTAGCAACCAATGAATAGAATATATCCATGGTTATGTTTTAAGATCTTATTTGAGAGTATTGTACTTAGAGAAACATTTTAAGTAGTAAAATAAAGTAGAATGTTAACATGCTGTTTACTTAATTTACTGTTATGAGCTCTTAGAATCTTTCCCTTTTTTCCGTGTTAGGTTTTATTGTGAAAGAAATTTCATCATTGGCTTCGTAGTTTAAGAGGATGATTCTGTGTAGTACCAGTTAGACATTCCATCATTGCTGTGGAATTAGGAAGCTAAAATCACAGCTTGCTGGTTTCTGAATGACAGTTGTCTCCCCCATAGTTAAAGCTTTGCCGTAGACACTTAGTGAAAGTAGATATCGGGGGCTTGCTCTGAATCTGCTTTTTAGATATTTGAAAAGTGATTCCATACATGACATGATATTTATTTCTTATATTCTCGACATCTCAGGACCCTGTCTCCTGCCAAGTCTCCTTCTTCATCAACTGGGTCTATTGCCTCCAGCAGAAAATACCCATACCCGATGCCTCCACTTCCTGATGAGGAGAAGACAGTGAACCGACAGAGTGCCAGGGTACACAGCAATTCCCACATGCTTTATACTTGGTCACAACTGGTTATCTCTAAGCTTACTTTTCATCTCTATCCCCCCCTTTTGAAACAAAATTTCATTGTGTAGCCCAAGCTGAAGCCTCATCTCAGCATCCTGATGCTGGAATCACAGGCATGCAACATTATGACTGGTTTTGGACTTGTATCTTCTTTGAAACAGGGTTTCTCAGTGTAGCCTTGGCTGTTCTGGAACTCATTATGTAGACCAGACTGGCCTCAGACTCAGAGATCCACCTGTCTCTGCCTCCCGAGAGCTGGGATTAAAGGTGTGTGCACCACGCCCAGCCTATACTTATGTCTTTATTTTTCATGATTGTTTCACTCAACTCTGGGATTGAAAAAAAAGGATGTATTTTGTTTTATGAAGCTTTGAAAGGTCTTTTTTCTCTCTCCATGTCCAGTTTGATTGCTCAGACCTCTTGCCGACTTATTAAAATTCATTAGGAGTTCAGAAATAGGAACCTATGGCAGAAAACCAGATTAGTGTCTTGGTACCAAGGGTAGAATTTAGATGCAAAGGAAAACTATTTGAAAAATCTGAAATATTGAAAGAATGCTACAAAGAGTATGGTAAAATTTAACAGCATTTTCCATCTTTTTAAAAAATCAACTTAGTGCTGGGTGGTAGTGGCACACTCCTTTAGTCCCAGCACTTGGAAGGCAGCGGTAGATGGATCTCTGTGAGTTTGAGGCCAGTCTGGTCTACAAAGCAATTTCCAGTACAGGCTCCAAACCCTGTCTTGAAAAAAAGAAGGAAGGAAGGAAGAAAGGAAGGAAGGAAAAAAATCTACTTAGTTTTGTGGTAAGGAGGGTTTAACCTCAGGGCCTTGCTACCTTGGTAGACAAAACTTGCTCTAACTCTGAGCCACACTTATGAACTCCAAAAAGCCAAAATTTTAACAAAGTTTGTTTTTATTATTTTAATGATGTGAGTGTGTGTGTGAGTATAAGAGTATAGTTCCCATGGAGGCCAGAAGAGGGCATCATTGGAGTCCCTGGAGCTAGAGTTGCAGACAGCTGCCTCACATGAGTGCTGAGAACCAAACTCCAGTCCTTTGCAAAAGCAGCATGTACCTTTAGCCACTGAGCCATCCCTACTACCCCCAGAAAGCCAAATTCAAAACTAATAGGGACATGTTCATCTTTATGATAAAAATACAATTTACCAGAAACTCTATTTAAATCCCTCTTATACTTAGTCAGCATACCCTGTCTCACAACACCCCTACCCCCACCCCCGTGAATTCATTCTGTGGAATTTAGGATAAAGTAGGATTTGGAAGCCAGACCAGCCCTTGGAGGTTTCTGTAACACTCAGGCCTGGAAAGAGTGATCACTATGTCTGGACCCCTATGGAAAGTTACATTATAATGTTGCTCTTATGAGAAAAAAATCAGATCTATTCAGCACAGGGTTCTGAGAATTTTTAGGATCTGAAGGTGTTTTAGAGCCTCACATATCCTGAATTGAAATTATGGGCCTCAAGATAATGTGGGTTGTTTGTACTTTGGTTTGACCAACCCAGAGTCAGCAAAACAAACAACAATAACAAAATAATCACCACCACCACCAAAAAAAAAAGAAAAAAGAAAAAAAGAAAAGAAAAGAAAAAGAAAAAGAAAAAAGAAAAGAAAGAAAAAAACACAGCTGGTCAGATCACTGTAATCATGAAGTCTATACAAATATGAAACAACATTTTGTTCATTGTGAAAACTACCTCTGTGTGTCAATACTGGAAATGATTAAAGATGGAATTGAAGACTAAGTCATGTAAAAGTGGACTTTTCCTTTTGTCTGCCAGCTCATAAAAAATGACATGGAGACTTATGTTAATGATGAAAGTTCTGCCTTAGCTAAGGCTTGTTTCTAACTAGCTCTTACACTTAAATTAACCCATATTTTAAAATCTACATTCTTCCATTCACTTGTTATCTTATCTCCATTATGCCCATCCTGGTTATTCCATGTCTGGCTGGCTGATCAGTTTTTCTTCTTCCCAGAACTCTTTCTGTCCAGAAGAGCTGCCTCTACCTCCTGCCTAGCTATTGTCCATTAGCTTTTTGTTAAACCAATCACAGTTATGCATCTTCACACAGTGTAGATTGTCAGCGCTGGACTTTCAGGCTTTGTCTGTAGACATCCAGTTGTTTGTGGTGTGCTATGTGGTAAGCAAGTGGCTGTTCTCCCTTCCCTCCTCAGAGTTGTAAGTTTAGCACTTCATGTCTTTTCCTGGTAAATTGTCTGCATCGTTGTTTTGCTCCATCAAGCTGGGGGTGTTTTCTTAGCTGTCACCATGGCAAAGTGTAGATTATTAGAGATGTTAACAAATGAGAACTCATGAAAATAACAGTTCTCCAGGAAGGAGAAATGGGTGTCCCATGCTCTTCCCATAGGCTGAGCAGTGTAATCATGAGGACTCCATTGCTGGAATATCTGTATAGAAAATCTGACTTATGTCTGTTGTGTGGGACAGCCATATACAATATAGAAAAATCCTGTGGAGTGGGTGGCCCTTGTCTTTCAGCTGTTTTGGTGAGTTGTGGAAAATGCACCAACAAGCCTGCTGTTAAAGCCACCCAGGAGTGGGCTATCATGCCTCTTGCTATTGATGATGTTAAAATTGTCTTTTACTTGTTTCTCTCAGGGATAATCATGACTTTTAGTTTTCTTAAGTGTTTTTTGTTTTGTCTTTTCCTGCAAACTCATTGAAGCCAAAGTTGTCTCTCCCACTCCAGACGACCATCTAAGCCTTCACATTTTCTGTGCCTGGGACACCCCTGAGCACTATGATTACTTCCTCTCCACTCAAAAAGATCCTTAGATTTGAGAGTTCCATTGGGCTCCAAAAGACAATGGTGTCTTTTTGAAAACATTTAAGACTTACTTATCTTCATTTTCTATGTATGAGCGCTTTGCCTGCATGCATGTGTGTATATCGTGTGTATTCCTAGTACCTCCAGAGGCTAGAAGAATATGCTGAACCTGCTGGAATGGGCATTGTAGACAGTTGTGAACTGTTCTGTGGGTGTTGTGACTTGAACCTGAGTCCTCTGGGGGGAAAACAGCAAGTGTTCTTAAGCACTAAGCCATTTCTCCAGCTCCAGAGTAGATCTTTTTAATAGCAAAGATAATATAAACCTGGCCTGAGGTAGGAAGCTCAAGTGGCTTTTCCATGCCTCTGTGGAGTATGATACAATTTCTATTAGAACAAGAGTTCCACCAAGGTTTGGGCAAGCATGTTAAAGTAACATACCTAGAAAGATATACTTGATGCAGCATGGTGCCATGTGACTAAAGCCCTTGACAGGTAGAAGAAAGAAGTCAGGAGACTAAGGCAAGTTTCAGATACACAGTGAGTTTCAGAACAGCCTGGGCTACATGATACTCTGTCTCACAAAACAAAACAGAGAAAAAAAATAGTAATTGTGTTGTCTCCTTTTCTTCCCCCCAAAATTTACATGCCATGAAATATCTCATATCCTGTTAAAATAGAATGTAGATGGAAGTTAAATATAACCTACGCCACTCTAATCATGCTTTCTTCATTCTTGTGTAAAATATTTATACATGAGTCATATAGACTGGCAGTATATTTTCATTGGCAGGCTTTAAAAAATTAACCCTCTTCTCTGGTGAACTGAGATGCCGGTCTGAGTGTGCCAAAGTCATTTGCCATCCATGAAGGCCCTTACTGCGCAAAGTAGATCTGGCCAGGCTCAGTAGAGGCAAATAAAGGAAGGGATGGAAAGCATGCATCCCTCTACTCTAACACATCAGCTACTAGGGAACAGTTGCTTGCAGTCAGTGATAGAGCTCACAGGCCCACAGTGATGTTTATGGGGACGGTGTTTGTATCGATGGAGTCAGACCTCTCAGCCTTGGCTGTGCATGGGAGCTGTCTGAAGAGCTCCAAAGTATTTTAAAGCTAAATCCTGCCAGTGAGATTTTGATTTAGTTGGTGTAGATTTTAAAACTTTTGAGGAGAAGGTTCTTGCTGTGCAAGCATAAATGGCCTTAGTTCAAATCCCCAGTACCCATGTAAAAGGCCAGGTATGTTGGTGCATGCCTGTAGTCCTGGTACAGAGGAGGCAGAGGCAAGAGGAACCCTGGAGCTTGCTGGCCAGATAGTTTGGCCAAACCCATGAGCCCCAAGTTCAGAGACTCCCTCTCAAAAAATGAAATGGAAAAAAAAAAAAAACATGAAATAGAGAATCATGAACGAAGGCACTTGACATTGACCTCTCATCCCCACATGCACAGGCATGCATATGCATGTATATCCCCCACACACACACATATACACACGCACACACACACACACACACACACACACACACACACACACACACACACACACACAATTTCTGCAGATAGGTTTACAAAGCTCTGATTGAGAATCACTATTCTAGCTGGCAGAATACAGGAGGGAAATAAAGGAAACAGACATCTTAAAATAATATTTTAAAATTCTCTGAGAGGTGTGATATTTATTTGAAATTTTAAGTAACCATTGTTTGAACCATTGATATTGGAGCTGGGAGATGGCTAGTGAGCAAGGAATTTGCTGTGGAGGCATGCAGACCTGGGTTCGATGCCTGTGCTTGTAGAGCCAGCACTGGGGGCCAGAGACAGGAGTTCACTGGCCAGTGAGATGCCCTGTCTCAAGGAGATGAGATGGGAACACTAGGGGAAGATTCCCAAAATCCTTGTCTGTCCTTCTCATGGCTTTGTATAGGCATATGTACACACACATTCACATACATGTACCCCCTGCACACACACAAAGAGATGTCAACAGCAGGTTTAGGAGAGAGCTAAACAACGTTTGTGTATTTCTTTTATCCATTTATTAGACAAGCTCGTGTGCCATAGCTACTTATGTATGGGTGGAATCCTTTCTCATAGCTCAGAAAGTCTGCTTTCTGCTTTTCACAGTGTATGATTTTGCTTTCCTCTGTTTGCAGCTATGGGAGACATCCATTTAAGAACAACTGTTTACATGTGTCACATCGAAACTGTTTACTTCAACTTTTATAGAAACCCAGCCACCCAGAAATCACTGCGAATCTATCTGTTCTTCACACGATTTGAAGGCGCTCTGAGATGCCAGAGGAGAGGAAGCCATGGGTCATGCCTGGATGCTGTTTTCTTCTTGTCATTGGCTTAAAGTTTAACCAAACAGTAAAAAGACCTACTGGAATTTTACACTACAACATGGAACCATTTATGGTCTGGTATTGGTATGTGAATGGATAATCCGCATGGCAGACATCTGTAGAATATCAATAAAACTAAACTCACATGACCCAAATGTAGTAGGTTTTCCTGAGGGACAGAAGTGGATTCAGAACTGGGCATTCTGAAACATATCCTCATTGCAAACAATAACGCCATATGCATGAAGCTTCTGTGCATTGCTTTCCATATACAAGGAAACAACATGCCATAATAGACACTAGCATGCAGGGCTGAGGCATACAGATTGCAGGACTGCACAGCTTCGAGAGGCCAATACCCATATGCTAACTTTAAACATGTATTTTTATTTTTTTTTACTTTTCATATTTATATTAGCATACAAGGACAACTGTACATATGTAAACCTTTTTAAATTTAAAAAGGAACTGTTACATATAAGTGTATTTTGCCAAATGCCTAAAAACAGTCAGTCACAATTCTCTCATTGTCCTTCATCCTGTGGTCTTGAGAGTGGAAGTGGATGATGTTGTAAATAGAGTGGTCGATGCTGTAAGAGCATCTTTCCATAACTGGCAGTCATCTAAACCATGTGATTTCCCTTTAAAGTGTGTACAGTGTGGAGGAGGTTTTGTTGCGTAAGAGATCAAAGTGCTCAGACAAGCATCTGGCCTCTGCATCTTGCTGAAGGTGGGATCTCTATATGTGGTGGCCATGCAGCATCAGGACATGCTGGAGCTGACAGACTCTCTGGGAATCTGCCAGCCTTCTCTTCCACATCTAAGACACATGGTGCCCGTCACAGTAGCCGTTCTCACTCGGTACCTGGAGGCCATGGAGTGCCCTCCCCTCCAGAAAGTGTCTTGCTGAGATTGAGCAGATGCACCAAAGACACAGACCACTGAGTGGGCAGCTCCCATCTGACCAGTACCTGAGCCCTTTCTGGCCTGAAGTTTGGGCTCCTTAACAAAACCCTTACAACCATTCTTATCTGTGAAAGGGGTGGCCTGTTTCCACAACTTTAATGCATTTAACATCACTGGGATGTAAGTCCCAGTAGGTCATTCTGGATGACTTTGAACAAGATGGTGTCTAGAAGACTCAACAGGGCATAAAAGATCAATAAAGTCTAAGGCTACATAGATGCAGTACCTACAAAGGTCACTATTAGCCTTCAGGGGAAAGAACCAAAGGTTTTGAGCTGTATACAGTTTGATCCATTGAAAAATGATATTTTATGTGAAATCTTGTTATTTAAAATGAAAAATTAATAGCTGTTCTAATGCAATTTTATCACTCAAAAAGAAAGACACTCTAGTGAGATCTGAAACTCATAGGGTCAATCATATGATCTGCTGTGCAGTATACTCCTGCCCCGCCCCTTTCCTTACTGTTTTATGTGAGGGATGGAGTCATCAGACAAGACATCAGAAATGTACTCTACATTTGATTTCTCCCACAAGTGTCCAGGGTCGGTTTGTTTCATCTCTGTGTAGAATTGTCTAAGATGTCCCAGCTGAAGGGCCAGACTGGAAGGCAGGGGTGTACTCAGTTTATGTCTTTTGTAATGGTCCATTCTCCCCAAACACCTGGAAGATGCTGGGAAATCCATTTAATTTAGACAAAATCATACAGGAAAAACAGTTTACCATAACAGGAAAGGCTAGAGCTTGCTGATGGCTCAATAAAACAATCTTAGACAAAGGCATGGATGAGTGGAGCAACGTCTCCATATAGCTCAAGGCAAGGACAGAAGGGCAGAGAGGTGACCAATAGAAAGATGTAGCAAATGAAGTGGCCTTTGAACAAGATCACTTCAAATGTGCACTGAATGTTTTCTGGTACTGAGTATATAAAGTGCTAGTGTAAAATAAGGTTTATTTTGACTACAAGAAAAGAGTTTATAGCTTTGACTGAAAGGTGCCTCATGTAAATACGCTTGGTAGTTAGAGTTACTTACATAAGCCCTGGTTTGGAAGAATTCACAAGTGGCTAGCTGGTGAACTGATTATCTGTCTCCCTGCATGTCTTTCCTCATCAATTATTTTTCCTGAAGTTATCATTGAAAAATCACTGTCATTGTCACGTGCCTTTTGGGAGAGACAGTTGCTCTCGTTTGCAGACTGATTTTAGAAACACAAGAGCTTTAATGTTCTCGTAGGGTATGTATCACCCATGTTTAAGCATTCTTAGAATTGTTTTTGGAACCAACAGACTTTAGTGTTGATGGTTAGCTTCAAGATGTATCGGTAGACTTACCGGTGTTAGTGATGTAGATCATTCATCTTAACTACGTATGACTTCATTCGCTGAGGTAGATAGAATAGACTCATGGAATCAAGTACAAGCACAGTGATTTTTTTCTCTCTTAAATGTCTATTTTGAGAGGAACTTTGAAGCTCCATAGTGGTTTGAGTGGTGCAACTAATATTCATACTTCCCAGTCTACTGTGGGATCATTACTATGCCGTTTCTCTTTCTCTTGGCATCAGTACGACTGCAGAAAGCCCAAATGCCTGAGATGTTCCATTCAATAGCTCATTTCATTCCCATGTAAAGGAATGTTTAAGTCTTTCCACAGTGTGACCTGGGAGGCCTGAAGTAACAGAGAGGCCTTAAGGAACAGACTGGCCAGACCAACTCTTCCTGGCCAACTGTTCTTAGGTGGGAAACCTTCCTCTAGAGTCAGCGGGATACAGAACGGCCCCAGTCACATGCATTCTGCAGAAAGCAGGAGATGGGTGGTGCTTAGATGGTGCAGCATGGTGATTCTCACTGTTGTGTAGTGGTTGGATATAAAGAACAAAAAGCACATGTCTCAGCCTCTCACTTAGATGCTAAATGAGGAACAGCCCATCTTTAGGTTCCTTAACAGAAGCATTGTCTGGGGATGAGATACCTTCTGAGCAGTGCAACCTGGGCATCTCATTTCATTATACAGTTTCTTTTCCTTGTTGTTTTACAAGGCTTTTAAAATAGTGTTTGTACAGAAGGTCAGTGCAATATAGAATTTATGTATGAAAGATTGATGGTATCTAATAGAAGCCCCAGTGATGATAACACCACACATTCCCTGCCCTCCCAGGGTGTGGGTGGGAGGCTGCTGTGTGTTCCAGAACAGGTCCACCTGCCTTTCTTCTGGTATCACCTTGCATATCTACACTTCATCCTGCCCATGGCCCTATGCCTTCTGTAGCTATGTTACCTGTTGCCCTTTGTGTTTTTGTTCTTTGGTTTTTATGGTTATCTTTGAACCCGGCCAAGTGTGGTATTTGTGCTCTTCTTGCAGGGCTTTAGAGTCAAGTTTGTTCATTTATTCACTTCACCCTGTCATTTGCTATTGTCATATGAAATTTAATCGACAGTTGTGAAAATTGGCTCAGGCAGCAGCCCATCTGCCTGTATGAGCAGCATGCTGTTAAAATGTCCCTGCTGGTCACTATTGGCACTTGCTGACAGCATATGCTCTGTGGAGCAGGCATTTTCAGCTCTTAGAGTTTTCCTACCACCCCTGCAGGTGCAGAACAAAATTGCCGCCCCCCCCAGACTTGGAAAGCAGAAGTAGTTATTTCCAATCCTGTTTTGGTCATGGTTTTGTCAGTCCTCAACATGGAGCATCTAAAGTCAGTAAACATAAAATCAAAACCATTGTTCGTTGCATTTGTGCCCTTTGTATCCCTGGCCTTAGAAAACAGTATCATTACTATGGGATCTGATGGCTGCATTTAGGACCTTCCTACTTCCAAATTGTCTGAGCAGGACTTTCCCTCGTGATTAGCAACGCCCCCTAGCATGCAGGCTAGTGCCTTCTTTGGGTAAAATAGAAACTGGGAGAACCACAGGATTAGGACTAGGGAAGGTCGTCTTTCATTTTCTTTTAACATGCTGGTTTGATTGTGCACCTTGGAAAGTCACTAAGAAATGGATCTCAGGGTCTAAATCTCAGGAAGGGAATAAGCAACAGAGAGTTTGGGAAGATCCTGGGTCATTTAGTCCCAGCACAGGCCCACAGTGCACATCCTCGTGAAGCAGGCAGAAGCGATCAAGATTGTCACTGGCCACGCTGAAGGGACGCAGAGGGCGCCAGCAGCAGACTGTGCGCTTCGCAGTTTTCTGGAGTTTTAGTTTTCTACAGATTTTCCTGTCCAGTGCTGTGTCCCTGTTGCACTGTTCACTGACCTGCATCGTGCTGGAAGGGGCTTCGGGAGTGGTAGGAGTGTTGATCACAGGCATCCATGGAATCAAATCCCAACAAAATGTATTTTATTCTGTTTCCTTTTACAAAAAGGCACACAGTGAGATGAAGCAATCTTAAGTCAGTATACACAATGGCCATCAGTTCTGTTTGTGAACAAAGGTTCGTTTCCCTGAATGTATGAAGATGCATGTACGTGTATTCTGCATTCAGCTTATATTTCAGGACATGATCTGTTCTGATAGTTGAGTTTTAAAATAATGCAAATAGCCCAAATCTTTAAATATAGCGGTGCTACGTTTTATCAGATAACACAACACAGAACGTGCTGAAATGAATCCAGACACTTAGGAGGAACAAAAAGGGTTCCTGTTAAATTACACACTTGTATCACTGCCTAATTTGAAAACCCACTTTTCCTTTCTAATCCAGCACAATATCAAACTGCAACTCTGCAGCTCCTCTTTTAATGGGCACAAATAACCCAACACCTTTTTTTGTTGTTGTTTTGTTTTTAATGGAAAACTTTTTTTTTTTTAACACTAACTGCAAAGTGCTTAGCAAAAGGTTCCTTCAGGATACAGAGCATTTTTTTTTTCAACTTGTTGGAAGACTTGCCCCCAAACTAGCATTTCCAAATGACAATTTCCAGAAATGGCTCATTTCGCCTAACCAAAGCAGCTCATGTTAGTTGGCTTTAGGTCTCTGCCAGTGCTTCCCATATTCATAGCCTCCGAGGGTGGCACCCATCTAAGATAACAGAGGCCACCCCATGGGGATGTGTTGAGAGCATCAGTGTGGTTCACTTGGACTAACCAGGTACTCGTGTGTGTGTGTGTGTGTGTGTGTGTGTGTGTGTGTATACTTAGATTCACATCATTCAAGCCTCCTCTCTGCTACTCCGCACGCACTTCCGGTTCTTATGCTATTTTAAAACTCCTGGGTTTTGGCAAACGCCAACAGAAATGTAAATGGTGATTGCCTTCCTAAGCAAGTGTGGTTTGTTTTATGGCCGTTCAAGTTATAAAGTTGTTCTCATATTGTAGGTAAACAAAATCTTGCTGTTTTTAAAGGTCACTGTAATTGGAGATTTAACTTTCTGGCACAATTTTATTAGTGTTCACTTCTGAAGCTAATAATATATCAGAGTTTTCTATGTTACTCTCATTGTAACATCAATAAAGTGACTTTCAATAAAAGATTTATGTTATTTTGATGTGAAGCTCTTTCATTTTTTTCCCCTGGCCAGCATCTCTGAGAAGCTGTCAGAAGATTCCATTCTCATGGTCCCTGAGGAGGTGGGAGAAAAAGTGGCATTCCATTTGTTGGGCTGTTCCTCTGATGAGGAAGCAAGGGACTTGTCTCCTAAATTCTCTCTTGACCTGTGATGTTTAACTCTTGATGAAGACTTGTCTTGAAATATTGTTAAAACCTGAATACCAGAAAGACAATTTATAATCCTTGAGGATGTACCCAGAAGCAAGTTCAGAACCAAAATATAAATAGCACATCTTGGGGTTATGCAAATGATAGGGCAGCTTAACTATGGGGTCATCCATCACCTTGGGTCAGTTTCCTTATTGTTTATGTTCACCTAGGAAATGATTTCTTGAAATTCTAATTTCCTCAGAAGATCTAGGTCAGTTTAAACTGAATAGCAAGTGTTAGGGCTTTATAAGACAGTCCCAGCCTCCTTGTCCTCCTAGCACCCTTGGTCTTTTCCTGGACAGCTTGGGTCCAGGTTGAAGCAAAGCTCTGTGACAGTACAGATAAAACATTTGAAATGAAACCCAGACTTGCCAGCAGTGTGTCACAGTGTGACACAGCAGGCGGTGTCACACTCCGACACATAACCTGACTAAAAACATAGTAAGTTAGGGTCAGCAAATACGAAATGACTACATATATGTAATGTATATACTGACATTATCAACATATATTTGTGAAATGAGGCTGGAGAGGCTTATGAAATGTTTATTTCACCTGTTGAGAGTTAATCATTCACTTGGTCACGTTCACATTGTTCCTGACAAGACAGATGCATTGCTAGCGAGAATCTTATCATTTTTAGCTAACTGTAAGAAACAAATACGGCAGATGCTCTTTCTATCAACACACTTCTGCATACTCAGAACTACCCCATGGGATAAGAATTCTCTTCAAAGGTGGCAACACTGGGTGTCTTGTCCTTACATAAAATGACCAAGCCACATACATAGCAAGGCATTGCCAGCAAGCCAATTATTCAAACATTTGAAAAAAAAATTACATGCGCGCGCGTGTGTGCGTGTGTGTGCGTGTGTGTGTGTGTGTGTGTGTGTGTGTGTGTGTGTGTGTGTAACCTGATTGTAGAACACTTGGAAATTTAGTGGGAAGAGAGATCCTACTCCCAGTGTTTTAAGCCAGATCAACAATTGACTCATTCATTTAAATTCCTTTCTTGTGCATGTTTAAGTACATTAACACATGACATTTAAAAATGGATTTCAACAATGTTTTAAGAATGATTCTGTCTGGTTTTCTTATTCTTATTACTTTTAGTTATGATTGTGCATACACATCTGTTCCAGGGTATGTGCATCCAAGTGCAGGTGCCTGTGGAGGCCAGAGGCAGTGCTTAAGTCACCCAACATGGGCGCTGGGAACTTGAGTCCTCTGCAAGAGCAGTACATGCTCTTAACTGCTGAGCTGTCTCTCTGCCCCCAACATCTGGTTTTAAGATGGAAGCATACACATTATAAAATTTTGTGAGATATGGAAATACATGTAAAGGAAATTAAAGTCATCTAGAATCCCATCAGTCAAAGATAAACAGTTAATATATTCTTATCTCCCTTTTTAGTCTTTTCCTGTGAATTTTAAGCTTATAATATAGAAGACTTTTAGGTATAATTAACAACAGTTTGGATAGATGACAGAGGAGGATGTTGTGACAAATTATCTATTGGTTTCTAAAGAGGAAGACAGTCATTCAATACCTCTGTCCAACCAAGGCTTTTAAGCCCGGTGAGTCCTGGAGCTGGCACTTCTTTCTAGTGTGTATATTACCTTGTGCACTGGTTTGTTTTGCACCCTGTGGACCCACATCACTTATATAAGAATATCTCACACAAAACACAACCACATTCTCCAGGGCAAGAAAGGACAACAGCTAAATCTGATGAAAAGATTTCATGTCACAAGAAAATATACAATATGCTTTAAACTCTCTGCATACTTAAGTTTATATAAAAGACAGCAGGAAAATAAGGCCTGGTTAATAGTGGCTCAAGGAGGTTCTGGCTGGTACAACACACTTGTTCTTATATTAATTGAACCTCAGGGATTTATTATCAAAATTAAAAATGAAGCTTCGGTTGTATATAAAGTCACAATCCCGTTCAACAGTTGTCAGGGAGTGTTGTTGGAAATCTGCACACAGCACTGAAGGCAGGAGGAAGCAAGCTTGGGCTCCAGTTGGAATGTTGAGTATATTCAGACAACTTCTTCTTGACTTAGACGGTCATGACACACTGAATGAACTTAAAGAGGAAAATTAATGTTACACTACAGACTGCAAATACTGAGGGTGCCATAGCCTCTCTGGGGGCAGCTTCCATTTTAGTTCTTTATCTTGGCATTGTGGGTAAACAAAAATAACAAAAACAGCCCCAACTTTCAAAGTTATGCATAAATGAACGCCCGGGTGGGAATGGTCTTATTGGTAGGGGAGCTTTCTATCGTAAAGTCCGATGAGTCCCTCACTTTATGGGAAGGAGGAATCACTTCCCAAATAATATTTAAGAGTCTAGAAACAGTCATGGTCAAAAGCACTTGCCCACAAGAACAAATACCAAGTTTACACTCTCATACCATGTGACGACTTCCAAACTGATTTCACCCTGCTACTCTAGCAGGGCACTTTTGACCCAATCATCCTGTACAGTCTGCTCCATCAAGTCAAAGTCATGCACACAGAGAAACTGACCCTGCTCCAGCAACTCAGAAACATCCATTTAGCAACATGAGTATTTGCTATGTGTTGCTGTCACTGCCCTGAAGAGCCCCTAGACCAGTGCTTTTCAACCTTCCTACTGCTGTGACCCTTATCATGTTGCAGGGACCACAAGCTATAAAATTATCTTCACTGCAACTTCAAAACTATAATTTTACTACTGCTATGAATTGTTGTAAATATCTGATATACAGGGATATCTGATATGTGACCCCTGTGAAAAGATTGTTAGACCTCCCAAAGAAGTTGAGACCTACACTTGACTCTGCTCCCCTAAACTTATACTCCAACACTGGTAAGGAGCCCCAGTACTAATTCCTACGACAATTCTGCTAAACCAACTCGATGATTCTTATTAGAGAGAAAAGGAACACTTAGAAACCTCTTTAGTGGTCCCCTCTGATGCCAAAGTCTATACTTTTTCCCTCTCTCCAGGTCATTACAGCTTGCTTTAAATGGTGCTTTCAGTTGTTGCCTGCCCTATGTTCTCAAGGAACAGCCCAGGTATGCAAAGCACAGCTGTAATGCAAGCTACCTCCCCGTGACGTGTTTTATACAGGGTCAGAGCAGACGACATGTCTGCATCCTAGGACACGGCTGACTGAAACCTGTCAACGGCTCTTTGAAAGAGATCTTATTGTTACTTCATATACGCATGTATGAGAGTGTATGCTTGTGTGTCGGGATGCACATGTATGTAGAGGCTAAAGGACAGCCTCAAGTATGACACATGCCTCAGGTACTGCTCACCTTTCGAGAGTGATTCTCATTGGCTTTGAACTCACTAACCAGGCTTGGCTGGAGCATCAGCAAGCATAGGGTCCCACCTGTCTCATAGGTTTTGCACATGGGTACTAGGATTGAACTCAGGTCCTCATGTTTGTCTGCCAAGCATGCTATCACCCTAGCCTGAAAGAGGCATCATTATTATGATACCTGCTTCACTCAGTCTCAGAGCAACAGGGAAATCTATTTACTTGACCCAGTCAATAAAAGCAACAGGCTGGGCTGGAATTTGAAGTAATTCTCCTGTCTCATTCTCAGAAGTGTTGGGATTACAGGCATGGACCACCATGTCCTGTTATGTTTTCTGTTTGCTTGTTCATTTGTTTGTTTGAGGCAGAGTCCCACAAGCATAGCTCAGGCTGGCCTTGAACTCATAGCAATCCACCTGCCTCAGTCTCTTGAGTGCATGCATGAGCCATCATGTCCATATTCTTAATAGCTAACTTCAAAAAGGAATCCCATTTTATGTACAGTATGTCTTCTACTTAGCTCTTATTTGCTAAGACTTACATCATCATATGAGAAATTCACCATTCCTTGTTGAGCAGAATCCCGTCTTCGAAAGCTATCTGCAAAACAACACGGTAAAATGTAGTTTTTCCGAAATCACAACAGCTAACTATTTGACATGGGATCAAACTCCAGTAACACTTAAATTCTACAACCAGTCAACAGAAGGCCAAAGAAAGATAGTCAGCATTAGGAATATTAAAAGATTTAGTATATAGCAGTAACATTCTGGGCAGATGGAGCTGAGAAAAATGACTGGTCTCAATAGAAGTATTTCAGCTTTCAAGGCCCTTAACTGCAGTGAAAGTATAGGGCTATAAACACTGTAGTAACGCAAGCACTGCTTAAGCAAGGAAACAGATGGCTACAGTTCCTAAATTCGATAAACGGGCTGTGACAAAATATCGCACTCATTTTAGCCCCGTGGATCAATCAAAAATGATTAGCTTTACATTTGCTCTTTTCAAACGTTTCACAGTTGAAGAGAACGACTCACAACTGCACTCTGTGATTGGTGTAGCACCATGGCCCAGGGTTTACCTAGCATGTGTGAGCAGTCTGTGACCGCAGAACCACAAACACATTTAAAATATAGACAATTATATCTGAATGTACTACAATTATTCATTCATCTAAAAGAAATTCTGTTTTTGTTTTTTGTTTTGTTTTTCGAGACAGGGATTTTCTGTGTAGCTTTGGAGTGTATCCTGGCACTCACTCTGGAGACCAGGCTGGCATCGAACTCACAGAGATCCGCCTGCCTCTGCCTCCCGAGTGCTGGGATTAAAGGCGTGTGCCACCAACGCCCAAGAAATTCTGAATAGCATATTATGCTCTATTTGCTTAAGAGCTGTATTAAGGGTCTTCTAACACACCCCCTAAAACCATAAAAAGAACTGGGAAGAATGGAAGTTCAGAGGCGTGGAAAGAGGAGACATGTCATAAAAAGAGTCTTCTAGGCTGGTCTTGCTGAAAGGTTTCAGGGACACACCTGTGAGAGCCCTCAGTTTGACACAGCAGGCGATGTAGTCATCAAAGGTGATCTTCCCACTGGTGCTGTATCGCTTTGCAATTGAATTCACAGTTTGGGGGTTCAATCTGAATCCTGGAAGGCAGAAAATCACCCAGCAGAGAAAAGGTTGAAGGTTGGTGAAAACAAAAGAAAACAACAACAAAATCCCAAAACAACAACAATATCAAAAGCATTAAAAATAAACAACTGGAATAATATAGCACACGCTTTTAGGGGCGAACAAAACATCTTTAGTAGGGTAACGGAGAACTCCAGTCGGTAATACGAACCCATCGTCGTCAGAGCCTTCTGCAGTTCCTGGGGATCCACCGTTCCACTCCTGTCACTGTCAAAACTGATGAAGTGTTGTCTCCAGCCATTCAGCACAGCCCAGAGCTCTTTAAATTCATTGAATCCCATGGTGCCAGACATATCTCTCTGGAGCATAATCAAGGACCCAAACTGTCTTATTTCATAGCTTTAATGATTTCACAAGAGGTTGAGGAAGGGTAAGGGGATCAATATTCCTTCTGTTAAAATGGCAAAATGACACCCCAAATTTTAAAAAAGCTATTCTATATTCTTGTTGCTATAATACAAAACATTAATGGCAAATGATGCAATAATTGGCCCATGGCTTTAAAGCTCTGAACACGTGATGACACGGCATTGCCAGACAAGTAAAAAGCAGTTTTCTTACTGGAATTGGGTGTGCTCCCTGGGTGTTGCAGGCCATGGGTTCTGATAGTCTAATACCTAAGAACCAATGGTTTCAGCTGTAGAAAGTGAGTTGAGGTGGAAAGTACCATGAGTGACACACTAACCAAATGACTGGCTGGCATTCTTCTCTACTTTGATGCCTTACTGAACTAACTCTAACACACACTCTCCCACCTATCTCTCTTAAGAAAGGATCTCTACAGTTCAGGCTAACCTCCAACTCACAGTATAGCTCCTGTTGCCCTCAAACTGAAGTGATCCTCCTGCCCCAGCATCCTGAGTCCTGTGATCACAGGCACGAGCCACCACACCTCTGGCTCCTTTTGCAATTCTGAACAACCAGTCTTCCATTTACTAAACTTCCTGCCTGCTTTTCACACCAAATTACATTCTAACGGCTAGTTATTTCATCAAGCTTTTTGGTGGTTGCTTGTTATTTTATATTTACTTGTTACTCATCCTGAGATGAAATGTCTTAGAAAGATATTTTTTTTTGTGCTGTGGATTAACACTCTAGACCACCATGAAGGTAAAGGATACGTCCAACATTGAAACCATAAGGCGACAAGTCTCCAGATTAAAAGCTGTTAAATCAAAGAAAGTACATGAGTAAGTATAATTTCAAAATTTTATATTACATTGGAATCATGCAAATAAATCACACATTTTAAAACATGCGGCTCATTTTGCATGCTACTCATTTGCCATTTTGTGTGTTTCTCTTATACCACTTTTGTGGGACTGTGAGGCAAACATGGTCCAGTTTCAAAATTTTTACTAAATATATCTGACCATGTTAGAGATGTCTGTAGCAACCCCAATCCCCCTTCCCCAATATGCAATCACCTTGTACACAGGGTTAGGATCACCTGTCAGGTCCACTGTTAGCCCTGGTCCAGTCATTTCTTTAAGATACAGTACTCCATGGGCTCCTTAACAGCTATACCTGATGCGATTTTACTAAGTCACTTCCCAATCCCTAAGGTCAGGAACTGTCTGAAAAATCTGTAGCAATACTAAGGTCCTGCAGACTGCTAATCTTGACTAAGCAGAACACTGTGTAGACAGAATGCTATAGTTCACAAGCTAGAATCTTGCATTACTTGGCCTTTACTAACCAATTACCCTAACTTCTGGATCTGATCCAATGTCCTCCTCAGTAGAAATACTCCTTAAAGTGTATCACTACGCCTCACAGGCCTCTAGCATCTACCAATCCTATAGCCATGAATGTTCTAACAACTGAAAGCTATGGCTCCCGACTCTGTTGTAGTGAGTGTACCAGATCTTCCTACCAATGGGAATGGCAAATGTCCTGATTCATGACTTCCTTTTAATTCTTGACTATACAAGTTCATGCGCCATCTTCCATAGTGGAACCTGTCACTCAAGTTAACTTGAGTCCATGTTCCTGAATCACAGTCCTTCATGTTTGGCTCAGAATAAACTTCCTTTACTTCCTTTAAAGTGGAGTCTTTATTCTATACTCTCAGTGTAGTCTTCAACCTTATGGCTGGAGTGGCAGTATTCTCCCATACAGAATGCTGTAGGGTGTCCTGCTCTCAGGGTAAAGGTCAGAACCTCTACATGTGAGGACCTTCGTGAATTTTCCCAGTTCACCAACAGCCAGCAGGATCTCCACAGGGAATTTCTCTCTTCCATCACTGAACCATACTCCCTCTGGGGCTTTCAAACATAGTGTTCTAATGCCTGAATTCTGCACATGCATACTGTTCTATCTATCTGAATTGTGTACATGCATACTGTTCTATCTATGTGAATTCTGCACATGCATACTGTTCTATCTATCTGAATTATGTACATACATACTGTTCTATCTGAATTGTGTACATGCATACTGTTCTATCTATCTGAATTGTGTACATACATACTGTTCTATCTATCTGAATTCTGTACATACATACTGTTCTATCTATCTGAATTGTGTTCATGCATACTGTTCTAACTATCTGAATTGTGTACATGCATACTGTTCTATCAACATGTACATATAGCATGCCCGGGTGGCATCACTGTGGCTGGACTTTCATTTCTCCTCTAGCCTGGGTATCAATTCTGCAGGCACACTCCTGTCTTGACCATGTGCCTGTTGGTATGATCCCAGCCTCAGTAGTTATCTCAGTGATCTTCACCAGGCAGAGCTGTTTCTGTAACTATTCATCTGAAATGCACCGGTTGGTTGAATGGATACATGGCTGGATGGACTGGATCCTCACCCCTAGACAGGAGCTGTAGTTTAGTGTAGAAGTATGCCTCTTACAGAAGGCTAAGGTGGAAATGTGGGTTATTATTATTATTGTTATATTATTATTATTATTATTATTATTATTACATTTATTTATTTTTGTTTTTCGAGACAGAGTTTCTCTGTGGCTTTGGAGGCTGTCCTGGAACTAGCTCTTGTAGACCAGGCTGGCCCCAAACTCACAGAGATCAACCTGCCTCTGCCTCCCGAGTGCTGGGATTAAAGGCGTGTGCCACCAACGCCGGCTATTATGATGATGATGATGATGATGATGATTATTATTATTATTATTTTGTTTTTTTGAGACAGGGTCTCTCTGTATAATAGCCATAGCTGTCCTGGAACTTGTTTTGTAGACCGGGCTGGCCTTGAACTCACAGAGATCTGTCTGCCTCTGCCTCCCAAGTGCTGGGATTAAAGGTGCATATCACCACTGCCCAGCAAGGGTTATTATTTTGTTAATAGAATATTTTAGGTTTACCAATACGGCTATAGGCCCATGGTTTCCTCGTTTTATTTAATGTATATAGATGATGACCTTAAACTCTGGCCCCTTCTACCTCCACCTCTCAAATGAGCAGACTATAGGCACAGATTACCATGTTCAGCTAATGTCTCTATTCTAAAGTTTTTCCAATGTGTTAGCCAACACCCAACCAACAAGCAATCAACAGATGAAGGGTCTGCATACTAGGAGACACAGAGGGAAACAGAGTCAGAGCACAGACGTCCAACGGACTAGGTGAGGCAAATCAGCTTCGCTCAATTTCGCTCACTGCATTTTCACCAGGAAACAGCTTTTATTAATGTCAATCCTTCAATATAATTTCAAAACCATCCATGTGGTCACTTCCCACTGCTGCTTCTGTTTGCTCTACTGCATTGCCTCAGATATCTTTTCATCCAGTAAAAACCATGCACCAGACCTAGAAAGGAAGGAAGCCTACTCTACCTGCCTCTGCCCGGCTTCTTGCAGAGGAACCACCAAATTCAAGGAAAGGAGAAGTAGAACTTCTCTTGTAGAGATTGGAACATTCCCTATCAAGTCCCCCTCTAGGGCTGACTGCCTCTTCCCTGAAGTAGCTCACAGGCCCTGTTCCACTCCAAATGTGTGGACTATGACTTGGAATATGGGCCTAAAAAGGGCGATGGCTTTAAGGTTTCTATACCATAGAACTCTTAGCAGCCCAGAAGTTGGGTGGCTACTAGAGGCAACTAAGCTAATTAATTAGATGTGTTTCAAGAAATGTCTTCTTACAATGCAGTGGTCTAAGGCCATCACAAAAGTGACTTTCAAGCAAAATTTTTAAAGTTTGCTATTACATTTCTTTATTTAGAGAGAGAGAGAGAGAGAGAGAGAGAGAGAGAGAGAGAGACTCAGAGTCAGAGTCAGAGGACAACTTTCAGGAGTTGGTGCAGAACCAGGGTTTGAACTCAGGTAATCAGTCTTGGAGGCAAAGACTAACTGGGTCATCTCATCAGCCCTCAAAACAGAAGTCTTAAAGAACCTGTAGAGCTCTTTGGTCTCTCTTAAAACTTGGTGCACCTCTTCTCCAGAAGGGCTGTAGCTAATAAGACAACTCACTGGGCAAATGCCATTATATCTTCCTTGTTTACCTCAACTGCCCAAGGTTAAAAAAATTAAACATTTAAACATAATCGCCACTGTTCGGTTCCCCTTACCTACAAAGTGCTTCTTTTGTCTAGAACCAAATTAAAATGGCAGAAATTTGAAACGCTTTCCTCTTTTGAATTCATTTCCCAACTAGGAAATAGAAATTGGACACTGAGGTTACACAAGATGTGGTGACAACAGAAACTGGGTGTTTTAAAAATGGTCATCTAGAGAATACAGTACCTCAAACAGCTGAAAATGCCCTCTGCAAGTGCCTAGGAATGAATTCCAGCTGGAACACTTTAACTCAGAGCTCACTATGAAGTAGAAGTGGCAGTCTGCTGTCACGAGTCAGTCAACAAATGGAAAGAAGTTAGAAGAAGCCCAATTGGGCTAAGTCACTATTATTTGTCAAAGACACTTCTCCTGGTCAAGGCTACATGTTTTTTTGTTTTGCTTGCTTGTTTGTTTGTTTGTTTGTTTTAAAGCAGAGTGTATGAGATGATGCAGGATCTTTGCAATGTTTAATTCTCCTTGCAGCTTGGAGCACATTACTGAAAAGACAGGGAAGAGGGATGTGCTGGACAATAAATAGCAGGGCACATCCAGACGGCAAAGAACTGAGGAAGGAGCAGGAAGGCTAGCACAAGGTGAGAGTAGAGTGGGAGCTCTGTCCTCACTGTCCTCAGCATGAACACATCTTCTCAGGTGGAAGGAAGAATGACCTTGGGGATGTCACAGACGACAAGTGTTTGTATTGCCAAGTAGCAAACCCAGGGTCCAGAGATCAGACCATAGGACTGGCCACTGTCTCAGGGCCACTAGAGTTAGGGTAGAATAAGCACTTGGCAAATGGTCAGTGGTACATGCTAGCACTTATCATTAACGATACCCGACCTGGAGGATTCCATTTCAGCACCCTAATTTGTCCTCTGTGAGGGAGGCCACCCAAACTGTCTCATCAGTTTGAATGGTTCTGTATACAGGGAACCCAAGTCCAAGAAATCCACTAACCTGTCTCATAACTTAGAAACTATGCTCAATTGACATAAAAAACAATAGCTTAGTGGGTCAGAAAAGCTTGCTGTCTTTACAGTTAACTGTTGAAGTACAGAGAACAAGGGGATTATTAGAATCTAAGAACACTTACGTTTGTATCCCCCAGCAATGCCAGACTGTGTTAGACATCTCTGCAACTCATCAGCATCAATTTGTCCATCCTTATAAAACAAAGGAAGAGGAATCATGATGGTAGTTCATACTTTTAAGTTCTTAAGTGACAAGGACAAGAGAAAGGGATATCTAGCATTTTTAAAGGAATGCCTTTCAAAATTGGATACTCTTCTCCTTACCCTAATTCCAAAAGGAATTTGATGAGAGAATATTTGTTATGGCAAACAGTCTCCAATCAGTTTGAGCCAAGAAACTACCAAAAGTAATCATTTTAAGATACAATTAGCTTTGGAATTGTTTAAAAACATATCCCTCACCCCCATTTTGAGAGAGAAAGTAAAGTGTACAGCAGATCTTTCAGGCATCAGTAAATACAAGGCCTGGTCCAAGGAGCAAGAAGCTCTTGGATGAACTTAAGACTTAGGACACTGTTTTCTGAGCACAATTAAATGTAGAAGATACATGGTAGCTTCCTAGACCTTCTTATTGGCTGATTGAGGTCAAAACTAGGTCTGTCTCTCTCTCTCTCTCTCTCTCTCTCTCTCTCTCTCTCTCTCTCTCTCAGGGATTTTAAATAAAATACATAAATCCAAGATGGCGAGATCCACCGTTATAAATAAGGAACAATAATTTGAAATTATTAATGATGAATGTGTGGAATAGAGGCCAGGGCTGCTGAAAGCCAAGTAGGCGGGTCACTTACATGCCAGAGACACCAGCAATCTAAGAATGCTAGTCTTGAGGTGTGCTATGTCTTGCGGTTTCAAAGACACAGATCAATAACAGATTAAGTAGATACTTGAGAGGAAAGTCTCCCAGTCTTTGACTCAATTTTCCATTCAAATTCTCAACGCTGTTTCTTAGAGTACCACTTCCAAAGGTGACCCGAGGGTTTATCTACAGCATCTTTTTTTCTTTTCCTTTTAAATCTTGATTTCCTTCTTTCTGGCTCTTGTTGTTAAAACCAGTCTAAGGTGAATAAGCAGGGATAAATATCCCCTCTGGATATGTTGGGTTACTCAACAGTACATTTACCAAACACAGAATGACCTTGCAAGCTGGGCAAGTGTCCTTCCTCATAGCTGCCACAGACTGTCCTATAACTCTAAGGGAGGGAGGTGGGACTTAGGACTTGTCACTCTGTGACCTGAATTCTTTCTCAGGGTCAGCAGGCCATAATACCTAATAAGGACATACAAAAGCTAGCAGAGGAAGACCATCTACAGCAGGGGTAGAGGTCACCTTCCAAATACAGACAGTAATTCTAGTGCCTGGACGCCAGCGGCTCTTTAACTCCTAAGGGGGTAAATGACTAATTATCAAATCCAACTGAAAGTAGGTGTCCATCATAATTGGGCTACAGAATTACTAATCTAATACAGGCCTTTAGGTTGGACAAACAGAGGTTTTACGTTTAGAACTTGAACTTCTTCTCTGTAAGCAACCCTTGCTCTATCTTGATAATACAGTTCTAAAGGCATCTTTCTACTTCATAGACCTTCGAAGTATATTTACAATCCCCTTTTGGGTCAATCGAACCCCTAGTTCCAATCACAAATTTCGATTTGAACTGATCTAGCACGAATACAGGTATTCTCTGTCCAACTTTGTTCAGGATTGAAGTAAGAATGTTTTAGTTTTCTGTTCTTTTTTCCTTCTTTTGCCCAGGCAAAGGGATTCAGTTCCAGGATGAGGTAAGCGCTTTTAGATGCCATGCACTAAACGATGACACCAAGAGATAAAACGATTCTTCAGTATTGTACAGAAAGGGCTAACCTGTCCAGCCACAGCAGCGAAGTAACCATAGAGCGGATCCTGAGTTTGTCCGGGGAACGAAGGCCCTCCAGGAGCTCCTCCATACTGTTAGAAGGAAGTGGAGAAGCATCAGAACAGATTCCAGTTTGTTCTTTCACCCGCAAGGCTTTGGCGCACAGCACAGCAGAGGCAATTGCTGTCTGCCTGCCTGTATGGACTTCACAGCATCTCCCCCCCATGACCTCACACACAAGGGCAGCGACCCACCCTGCTCTTCCACTCCCGCTCCATCCACATTTAAAAGCTGGCGATTTGGTCCAAAATAAGTCTCCACGAAAGTGATGCCACAATATGCGAAGTCACTTAAAAATCTCTATTAAGTAGGGGGTTGCAGAGGTGAATGTAACCGAGGCAAACAATTTAGCAGCACGCAAGGCTCGGGACTATTTTCCTGTTGCTTTAAACAGCTTTTACGAAGTTTTAAAAGCACTTGCAGTACTAGGTAAGGTCGGAATTGGTACAGGGTTGACAGGTGTGCTCTGGGAGGAGGAAGGGAGATGGCCCCGCTGTATCTGAGACGAGGGTCCTTCAGTCTCTGACAGTACATCCCTAACACCTGGCGAGGTGCCCTTCCTCTAGGACCCCTGTTCATTTCTCAGGACTTTTTGGACTCCCTGTCACTTTCTTTTCAAGTGAGTGACAACAAGACCATTTTAGATCAATATGGCTGTTGTCGCTTTGGGATAGAAGCTGGAAGGTCAGAAGAGAGAGAGAGAGAGAGAGAGAGAGAGAGAGAGAGAGAGAGAGAGAAGTGAACGCACAACTTGCTCGGTGAAGTCACCGAGTGGGCTTCCGGAGTCGCAGCTCACACACCCGTTGGCCGAGGAGAGTCCCTAGGAAGACAGAGGGCTGAAGAATGGATTGGGGCCGAGTCTGCACAGCAGGGACCGGGCGAGAGCGCGGAGCATCTGGATCTAGGATCCGCTC